CACTCTGGGTTCATTCAGATGCCAAGATGCCCGAAGCTTTGGGGTATGTGGAGCGGCGGCATTGTTGTTTCCGCAAAAGCATTGCTGCTGCTTGGTGAAAGGTTTTTCTATTGGGTTAGGGTATCTACTGCCCCTCTGAAACGTTTTGAGTTGCTTCGGTTTTCGTTTATCTAAAGGATGGGGAACGATACTTGCCAGACTGCCCTGTGTTGGCATTGTGGCCGGGCACTCCGGCTGCTCTTCCGGGGGTATTTGGCATGGGGGAGAACGGATGTTGTATATAGCAAGGCGCTGATGGGATCTGCTCAACCGGGGATTGCGCCATGCGGCACCTGTGGATTTCTTGGCGCCCTTTGAGGATTCGTTGTTGTTGTTTTTTCGTCAGCAAAACTCCACCCAGTAAAAGGGGGACAAGACAGAAGCGCACGTGCTCCTTTCAGGAGCCGCTGCGCGTGTACAAACTAGCACCCTTTACTAGGGGGGAACGCAGCCAGTCTTGGTTGAAGTTCCTGGCTGCCTTAAAACCACCCATCACACTGACGCACTGCGGGCATTCGTGACCACTTGCGCAATGGCCGGAAAGGGTTCTTTATGCCCTTTCTTTGGGCACATCAGGCGTACCAAATGAGAGACCGTGAGCTGTAGTAGCCCTTCCGTTTTGAAGGCAACACAAATTCTGCAGGTAGCATGTTCGGAGCGTTATTGCTTGGGCAATTCAAACATGCTTGACAGCTGCGCGTATGAGCCGCACTGGCAATGGTCTGTGACTCTTGTTGGCTGTTTACTGAAGGAGCTAGCCACTTCTGGCTGATTTGAGCGTTTCACGGTGGAAGGTATTCGCTGGAGATGCTCACCTCTTGACGTTGCCCATTCCAGCAGTTCTGTCTTCCGACATTTCTCATGCCCTGTTGGCTGTATTGCGGCAGCAGCGCTCATCTTGGGCGATTCAAGAGGTTCCAACATACGAGTAATATGAAGCTGCGACCTCGGCTCGCATGCGGTTTTGGATGTATAGACATTCCTGAGATGACGGAACTGACGCCACAGGATAGTCATGAGAGCAGTATTTTTAGGTGCTTTGGGAAGGGAGAAATGCATAGCATCGCCGAGCAGGGGAGCAAGTCTTGTACTCGTCACGGCAGGAATTTGGGTCGTTGACAGGACATGCAGATGTGCATCGCTATTCTGCACCTCTGGAGATGTATTTCTCCGGCATCGAGACAGCGTCATGTTGGATGGTTAGATGCAACCCTGCCCTTTGCAAGACTGGTGCGTGTGTGTGTGTGTGTGTGTGTGTGTGTGTGTGTGTGTGTGTGTGTGTGTGTGTGTGTGTGTGTGTGTGTGTGTGTGTGTGTGTGTGTGTGTGTGTGTGTGTGTGTGTGTGTGTGTGTGTGTGTGTGTGTGTGTGTGTGTGTGTGTGTGTGTGTGTGTGTGTGTGTGTGTGTGTGTGTGCGTGTGTGTGTGTGTGTGGGTGCGTGTGTGTGTGTGTGTGGGTGCGTGTGTGTGTGTGTGTGGCTGTGTGTGTCTGTGGATGTCTGTGTGTGTGTGTGTGTGTGTGTGTGTGTGCGTGGGCGCCTTTTTTGGAGGGCGCCCGTCTCGGATAGCTTACAAGGGCCACAGCTCCCCACTCCTTTCGGGGGTTCGCTCATCAAGAGGCTCACCCATTTGTCGGCCGTCTTCGGCAAGTCGCAGTTCTGAGGCGGTGGATGTGCATCAGGCTGCCCAGCCTACGCTTAGCTGCTCGCCTTGCCAAATCGGGCTTTTGGCTACCGCGGGTCAAATTCCATCCAAGGGGACACCTGGGTTTCCTATATATTTGTTTGAGAAACTACAAGCCGAAGCATCTTTCGAACACGTCTCATAAATTTTCAGGATCGCATCGCAGCTTCATGGCCGCTTGGAGTTTTTGTTCTTCTCAACACGGTGCTATCTTTGGCCCGCCGGGGGGGGGGGTGGGGGGGGGGTTACAATCACAGTCTGACCATTATGACCATCACAGACTTGCCGCCTTTGTAACTCATTTCCATCTTTGCTTTCGGGAAAGCTGGTGGCAAATACGCGGAGTGAGTGTGATATGTCTTCGTGTGTTTCGAAGGATGGCAAAACCCAGGAACTCTTCAGCATACCTTTTGAGCACACCCCGGACCCCGAACGAAAGGAATCCTCATGATGGGGTGGGCTGAGGATATGCTCAAAGGGCGGATTGACTTGATGTTACCTGCACAGAGCCACATAAACCCAACCATGGCAACCAAGGGTTTCGCCAAAGTCTTTGATCAATGCATGGGTACGTTCTTTGTTTCTTTCTTTCTTTCTTTCCTTCCTTCCTTCCTTCCTTCCTTCCTTTCTTTCTTTCTTTCTTTCTTTCTTTCTTTCTTTCCTTCCTTCCTTCCTTCCTTCCTTTCTTTCTTTCTTTCTTTCCTTCCTTCCTTCCTTCCTTCCTTCCTTCCTTCCTTCCGCCACGGTTTTGATGATGAACATGATGAGGAACATGATCATGCCACCATCACCATTTTCATCATCATGTTCAACATCATCATCATCCTCGTCATCATCATCATCATCATCATCATCATCATCATCATTTTCATCATCAGGTTCATCATCATGCTCATCATCATCATCATTTTGATGTTCATCATCATCATGATCATATTCATCATCATGTTCCTCAGCAGTTAACTGCCATCGCAGCCCCAGCATCAGCAGCATGACAATCATGACAACGCATCCTCTGCATTTCCAGTCGGGTCTAACGGCACTCTTGAAGCGTATCCGAAAAAGAAGAGCGCCACGAACATGGTGAGGAACATGATGATGCAAATGCTGATGATGTTGATGATGAAGATGGTGATGATGATGAACATGATGATGAACACGATGATGATGATGAACATGATGATGATGATGATGATGATGATGATGATGATGATGATGATGAGGACCATGATGGTGATGATGACGATGATGAACACGATGATGATGAACACCATCATCACTTTTACCATCATGTTCATCATGATTCATGTTGATGATCATGTTCATCATCATCATCATATCATCACGTCCCTCATCATGTTCATCTTCATCATCATCATCATCCTGATGATACTCATCACTACGCATCCTCAGCATCACCAGCAGTTAACAGTCATCACTATGCATTCCCAGCATCAGCAGCAGGTATCATGACAATCATGACAACACATCGTCTGCATTTCCAGTAGGGTCTAACGGCACACTTGAAACGTATCTGAAAAAGAAGAGCCCCACGGTCATGATGATGATCCGGATGACGTGAACCATCACCCAACATCAATCATGATAATAATCATCACTTAGACAAGGACAAAGACAAACCCTTCCCATGCGCCTTCCCTTTGGAGAAAGGGGTCGGCGGATATATGTATATATATATAACAACAACATGGACGGGCCACTTCATATTGCCTAGGAGAAGATCGTCATCGTGAAGCGCCAAAACGGGCGGAGGCCCGCCCGCTTTACCCCCAGCAGCTTTGTCCTGGAGGACCACGTAAGGCCCGGCTCCGGAAGACTGTTTGGTCGCTCGTCTCACACATTCGGACTCCGAATAGCATTTTTGGATGCTGGTCTGATGGGAATTAGCAGTTCTGACTCTGGCCCCCCCTTGTTGCGCTATCTCATTTGCAGGCGGCACCAAAAGAAGGAACAAGGGGTCTCAGACTGGACCCCATGAGACTTCAACTCAGAGGGTTCCCTTTTCGACAAATCAACCTTGGGGTTTGCTTGGCGGAAGACTGCCATGGGTCAGCAATGGGCACTTGAGAGAGTTGGGACCCATCCATTTTTTTAAACAAAATCTGCATAGAAGCGTCTCCAGGGCTTTCACGGTCTGGACGTCTTCACATCCGACACCCTGGGTCCCTGGAGGGTTGAGACTTGGGCCGCGAGTCTCGCCTGAATTGTCAGGCTGAAGGAGACCGATTTCAAAGATGGTGAGCAGCTTCCTTACATTTACATGGCTTGGGAGCCCATGGTGATGTGAGCGGACCCGGTGCCTGGCTCCTCTGTACATATGCCGTGCTCGAATCTTCAGCTGGTGAGCTTGAGTCCTGAGTTGGCTAGATCCAGATGCCTTTCACATGATTTGCCGAGCGATTCGAAGGCGGTGACTGTGAAGTGTCCCGCCACTGGCGCGACTTTATGCCTAGGACTGCGCGGTTTGCTCTGTGAGAACTTATGGGCGCAGACCCAGGCATTGAGTTAAGGGCGCTCGAACCCCCCCCCCCCCCACATAGTGCGCCAACAATGTCGGGCCCTTGACACGTATAGGAGTTATAGCCATGGCCCATTTGCAGGCCTTGATTGCTGACTCTCGAGCAAATCCAAAGCTGGCAGTGGTTCATAGCCCCACACGTTGCGCTCGGAAAAGACGAGTCTCTTGCCGCTGGCACAAACGCAGCCAGGGGTTCCTGCAATCAAGGAAGGCTCCTTTCTTAGGGGTCCCTGATCTTGCTGCTCAGTAGGGAATGACCCGGCGTGTTGGCACTGAACCTGGGGATTCCCTTAAAGGAAACCATAATGGCTTAAGTCGGGGTCATTCCCTCATTCCTTGTTGAGACTTGCAAGGTTGTTTCAAGCTGGAGGCTTATGATCGATGCACCTTCTGCCTTGTGAAACTGCGGACAAGCCATTTGCGACTGTGCTTCGATGGCCGAATCACCCGGACGGATTTGGCAGGTCTGGACGGACGTTCTGAATTTGCTTTTTCAGGTTGGCTCTGAGTTTTACCTTGGATTACCTAAGTTTACAATTGGCTTAGGTCTTCCCAGGGCTCCCTCCTCGTCCTTTATTGGTGTTTAACGCATCTTCTGGGCCATTTCCAAGTGAGATTTCGTTTTGTGAGGTTGGACATGCTGTATGTTCCAGTTAGGCCGTCGACCCCCCCTCCCCGCCCCCTCCCTCCCCCCTCAAGGGTTATGTGAACTTGGTTCCCATTTAAGATCTCCCCAGCTGAGGCACCAGCTGCAACCACCGCCTCGCCTTTTGTGTGGCATCGGGCCGCTCCATTTTCCCGGAGGAGACGAATGGCGTCAAAAGAGTGGTAGCCGTTGATGGTGGAACCTCCATATTTGGTGGTCCTTGTTTCAACGTGTGTGCCTTTGGCTTTGAAGTTCAGAGCATGAACCGGGCAACTCATGTCATGGTGACGTGATGCACGCTTATCAGGATGCCACACGCTTTCCGTCGGAAAGAAGCTCCTCAGAGAAAGACGGGTCCGCTTCTTCCCAGCCACAGATGGGTCATGCAAGGGTTCTGCTGGAGGCTTCAAGCAGAGTGCAAGTAAAAGCCGCGTCTTTTTGGCAGTAAAACATGTGCACCTGTTGGTCAAACCGATGTTCCTCCTGTGGAGGCGGGCCAAAGGGGAGAAAGGACCCCGCTCAGACTCCAGCTCACTCACTGAGCTCCAGAGGTCCTATGAGGGTCATGCATGACCTAGTTTATTTGGGGATTGGTGAACGCGCGGTGGTCGTCTATATGCTTATACTGCCAGTAGGCAGTGTGTTCTCAATGAAACCGCACTTGCAGCTGCCCACCTCGGAAATCCACAACAGGTTGATTTCTAGAAAACGGTTTGGATGCGGCGAATCTGTGGGTCCACCCCTGTAGAATATTAAAAGAGTACTAAAAGATTACTACAAAAGGACCAGCAGGGGAAACTTCTGGTGAAATCCAGATGATATACCGAATGTGGGAGATGATCCGCCAAATGCAAGAGTGTGAGAGACAAAGTCAGCTCCAGCTTGCGGCTTAGTTGCCCTTTGGTGTGACCTCTATCCTGCATATACCTTTTTGGAAAAGGACGGTGTTCCTCACTAATTAACAGAGTTTCATCAATGCGTTTGCAGGGTCTACTATCAAGCCTGACTCTTCACCAAAGGCAACCAAAAGGGGGGATGTTCGCTTGACCCGCCCGTAAGCAACCAGTCCTTCAGTGCCATCCATTCTCAAAAGTCCCTTCTTGTTTGGTGGGTTCCTTCCATGGAATAGCCCCCAAGAAAGGTTCCAATTCTTCAGCCGGGGTCGCTGGTTGCAACTCGGCTTTTCGGTCCAGGACCGGGGAGGTGTCCCGTTGCCACCCGGGGCTTCAGGCGGGGACTCGGCCAAAGGAACTGCCCAGGTTCGTCTCACCGGGCGCTGCCCGGAATTGAGCCTTCCAACATCGCACCTGTGGGAGACTGGAAGATCAATCTTGAAGGGAGGTGCCATGTTAGCGGGAGGGAGGATATGCAGTTTTCCTAGAAGGACGCTCTTGTTCATTGTGGCCCCCACATTTTCTTGGCACTCAGTTGGTTTTGATAGAATCACTGTTCCGTCAAATCTGATGGCTAGCCATGAGTTTGGGTGGTTCACCAGGCAATCTGAGCCAAAGTCCATAAGGAAAGTAGCCGATTTTCAGAACTGGTCTGAAAATAGGGTACCATCCCTTCCACTCACGTGGCACCTGACAGAGAGTCATTTGAAGAGGAAACTTATCTTGCAGCTAATCTCCCACAAACGCTATGTTATTGGAGAGGGGTCCCTTCCAAGATTGTGGGTTGTCCCTTCTGTTTCCCTTAAACCCCAAAACTGGTACCCTAAAAGAAGACACACGCAACCGGGCATTGCCACGTCCAAGAAAACTTGGACGCCAGGCAACACTTTGGTGCCAGATATGACTCCAATGGTGCCCATCAATAATACATCCGAGACGTGCCACCTTTTAAGGGATCCTTGTGTCTTTTGTTGACTGGATCCCCCGAAACTGGCTTCGGCTTTCCTTTGTGTGTCCCTGTACATCCGCAAAGAAGAAGGTACCCCTCACAGAAAGACACCCATACTGTTGATGGACAAAACCCTGCACCACTTTGAAACCATGGGAAACCATTGCTTGTTGGTATGTCCAGGGCAATCAGCATTCCAGGCCTTCTTGGGTTTTGCAGGATTTTGTCCATCCAGTGCGGAGGTGGCGAGACCATCAAGTGCCGCTGCTGCCGACATCGAATGTATGGGACGGAGGTGCGCGACGTCCAGGTGTGATGTCCGTGGACCCGCTCCTGTTGATTTCAAAATGAACCCGTTTTGGATGGCTGTAAAGGCAACCCACAAGGAAACAACGCATTGTTTGGGTCCTCCAACATGGTTGGTGGACATCAATCCCCCTACATATAAGTGATGTACACCGATTCGTCTGCAATTAAACATCATACCCTTGTGTCGGAGCAAGCACGAGCCAGCCTGTTATGACGTTCCACCCTCACAGGCAAATTGTAGCGAGCTCACCCAGAAGACAGGGGCTCAAGCCTTCCAGCGGCCGCCGTGTGTCGGCCATGGAAGCCCATGAGTTGTGCCGCGACATGAGATGGACACTAGAGAAATGGTCAACTTGCTGGTTGAACACTTGGGTGACCGTGCAGGTGGGCATGACGGCGTGTTGTGCCTATCAGGCATGCAGAATCCTGCAAGAGGAGTTATGTGGGGCGCTGGAAGATGGTGTGAGCGGTGTGCCTCATTCAGGATAAGCATTCTGCATGATTTTGCGAGACTTTGCCGGAGGCTCCAAAAAGCCCGAAAACACCCCGCCCGCACTGTATTACCATAACAAAGCCCAAGCAGCGAGGCCCACATCATTATTGCACTCGGGGCCTCAGCATGCTTGGAGCAGGTAGCAGTTTGCATGGTGAATGCAAAGGTGCTGGATTGGCACAACAGACGGCGCGAGCCCAGCAGCCAGTCTGCCTATGTGGCCACGGCTTCGTCACCATCTCTTCATTGATCAAAGCAAGGTGAAGGGCTGAGATCATTGAGGGGTATGAAGATGTGGTAATGCGGTGGTTCTCAGGGTGCATACTAGGCACGTATCCTGGAACGTAAGGTGGCCTAGCTGCTTTCGTTGGTAGGAAAGCGGCCTGGCAACAGATCGGAGTGGACATCAATGTGGAGCGGAGCTATATTGTCGCCACCTGCCCAAAAAGTGTGCCTTTTACTTGCAACGAAAACAGGCCGGGAGACGGGCACGAAGCATCTGCTACTGGGCCAAGCCGTCAACGCCTTCCGTTTCAGAATCGCATATGAACGCCGGGCGTGACGCGACCCTGCACTCTACCCGGCGCAACGTCGAGATAGTTTTCCCATTGTCAATGGTGCCGACCTGGCCAGCTTGTGCTGCGTTTCGCTGGCGGACGGTTGCGAACACTTGCGGACGCTTGCGGACGCTTGCTGACGCAGCGACGCATCTGGCGAACACATGCCCGAAAACACACACTGTTAAACGCCGACATACATGGCTGTCATCACGAATAGCGAAAGCCACGAAAGCCACAGACAATCGGCTTTTCAGCCGGAGGGCGGCGAGCCTCGCACCCCAAGATGCAGCCACAAAGCCCATTCGGGTAGTTGAAGGTTAGCAAGGGTCAGTCCCCTTGCTACAACTGGGGTTTGTCGTTTCTGAGGGTCATGCTTTAGGGTAGCTTTAAAGACAACCAAAGAAAACCAACGGTTGTGGGTCATCCCCTATGTTGGGCACACGGGTCGGTCACTTGAACTCCTTGATTTTGACTCATGGCTTCTTTTGCCGCGCTGGAAGTCAGCTCCGTGAAAAAATATGCTGCTTTGATTTGTTTTGTTTGCTTTTGGATCCAAACGTTTTCTACATCTTGGGTTTAATTGAGGGCTTCCGGGGGGAAAAACAAACGCTGACAGCCTGGGCACCTGACATCCCCACCCCAAACAATGCCCGCTTCCTGGCGGGTTTGGTCCTAGATCGATCCGCTTCAGGTGCGGAAGCTGCGGAACTGCCCGCTCTGCCACTCGCGGCTGGATATTTCGGCCATGCGGGGAGCCTCAGATGTTGGGTCCTGGCCCTGCGCGAGCAAAATCCTTTCGGGACTAAAGACCACTTCACCTCTTCACCACTTCACCACTTCACCACTTCACCACTTCACCACTTCACCACTTCACCACTTCACCAGTTCACGAGTTCACGAGTTCACCAGTTCACCAGTTCACCAGTTCACCAGTTCACCAGTTCACCAGTTTACCACTTCACGCTCAAAGCAGGCATGTGGCTGTGGGAGGGTCAAGGCTTCAGCTCTGGGTTTGGCAGAAGGGTTCTGGCAAGACTTAACCCATGACTTGCTGACCAAGGCATGGCACACTGGAACTCAAGTTCCTGGGATTTGTCCCTTAGGTTCCGTGAGTGTCAACCAAGGCATTGAGCCAGCTCAAAACCTGAGCGACGCCATTGCCGACATTCTCACCGCCCGCACCGCGCAAAGTGGCGCAGTGTACCGGTTGGCCGGTGGCCACTTAGCCGGTTGTTCAGATGCCAAAACAGCACAAGGAACGGCATCCCTCATGCGCAGTTCTTTGCACCTGACTCTGCCGCAACTCTAATATGAATTATCGTGTCACTCGCCAGGCTTCTATGCCCTCGTTGTCCATCCTAACTATTGATGCTGCCCAATGCAATTTCTACAGCTTGAGCCTCTGTGCGTCCAGCCATGTTGAATGAGGACAACCCGCCACTCGTTCAAAGGAACATACAACAGAACAGCTTCTGGGCGGTGCCTTTGAAGCCTTGGCGCTTTGCAGGTCGAATTCGCCCACGCCTTGTGGGTTGCACGGCGTTTCAGCTTGCGGCTTAGCAGGGAAGAAGCATCTATGCATTTCGGCATGCGGAGGGACGCAAGATCTTGGGGCATAGCTGGATTGCAGTGAATCAAATCAGATACAACCTTGATACATTTAAAAGATGGCAGCAAATTTGACCATATGCCATTCTCAGCTGAGCTTCTTGCTCGTTCGGGACAGCTTCTCTTGACCTCAGAAGGGTTTCGTGGCATGGACAGCGCATGCCCAGCGCCATGCTGAGCCAAGGCTCAAGGTTTGCCCCCCCCCCCCCCCCCCCCCCCAATGCACTTCAGAAGGCGCCGATCTGTAACCAGCCACCCTGAAAGCGCCATCTGGGTGACTGGGAAGAAAGCGCAACATAGTTGCAGCGCTAGAAGAGACAGTTTCTTTTCCCCTGTGCCTACTGATTCTTCGCAGCAAGTGAGAGCTCAAGAGTGGAGGTGTGTTTGCTGAGGGAGTGCATACCCGAAATTCTGCGCAGCCTGACATTTGCTGCACCCCAAGTTCTCCTTTTCCAACCCAACACCTCACCGTACCCAAGCCAAGCCATGGCGGTTTCGTGGCGCGCTCTGGTGCTGGTGCCGGCGCTGGCGTCGGCCAAGAAGAAGGCGCAGGAAGGCGATGACTCGGACGCTTGGCTCAGCCCTTTACCGTTTTTGTTGGAGCTTTGGACAAGCAGTAAATCCACATGTGGGTCAAGCATGGGGCAACCCCAAAATGGGTTGCCCGATCGGTAAATAGAACCACGGACTAAAACCTGCGGTCCATATCCTGGTGGTTTAACCTTGACTCATGCCCACAGAACAGTTGACGGAAGAAATCCTGCTCCGAAATGAGAACATTTTCATCACCTCTTGCGCTGGTGCTTTGGAAGGTACATCCTGCACCGTGCGTCACTGTTCAACGTTGAACTAGGGGCACAGGACCTCGCTGGGCGCCTTGGCCCGGGGCGGTCTGTTGAGTTTCGAGGCGATGCTCTTCTTCCTGCTGGCCATGTTGAGCTGCGTGCTGGTGCCCTGGACCTTTGTGGTGCTGTGGTACCTGCTCTTCCCCGGGCGAGCCGAGGCGTGGAATCACGACTTGGGATGGGGGGGGGTGCGGTTCCCTTAAGGCAAACCTTCGCTTGAGGAGTCCCGAACAATTCTGGGCTGAATCCAGGAACGGCAATCATGCGCAGGCGGCAAGACATCAACAAACAGTTCATCCTTTTGAACCGGGCGGCCATCGCGAGCCACAAAAAAAGTCTGGAGGTGCGTTTCCGAGCTTTCAACCCGTTCTTCTCCCCGGTTTGGTGCTCGTTTCGCCCAACCAACCTGCGCAGTGCGCAGGTCACCAGCTCGCCCCCCCCGCCCCGCTTCACCCCGTGGCCAGGTGGCGCAGGCCTTCCCCGAGCTCAGCTCCGAGGGCCGCACGCGGCAAGTCCGCACCCAGGCCATGGAGGCGGGGAGAGAAGACGGGCGCGGCGCGGAGTCCCGGGGGATGTGCTTGTCCTTTATTTGGGGTGCTCTCTTTGTGTCCAAAAAGGTCGGCAAATACATGGGTATGGGTCAAAATGAAAGGAATTGGACCGCAGGTTTTGAAGTCCATTCCGTGTACCAGGATTCCATGTTGGGTACATGTTTTTGACCCACCATGCGGTTTGTGTGAGGATTAGTTGTGGTTTTTCTGGATGAGAGAGAGGGGTGGATCCACAAGAGGTTGTTTAGAAGCTCTTGATCCTTCTTTTCTGTTGGTGTGGTGTTTGGGAGTAAATTCCGGGATTCGAGGTTTGAGCGTTTGGGTTTCGGACATGTTTGGCTGGTCCTGTTGCGTTGGTTCTTTCTCGTTCGGGGAGAGAACCGCCATAGCTGCTTCAGCATCGTGTTCTCACCTTCTCCTCAGCACAAGGTGTGGGTGTAAGCGTGGCTTCTTCAGCCAAGCTCGTAGCGCATGTTCCCCTCGCATCTTTTGCCACCAAAAATCCGGAGCCGAACCGGGCTTGGGAGTTGGGCCCGGTGCTCCGCGGGTTCCTCTCTGCGCGTCGGACGAGGTGCGGCGGAGCGAGGCGCTGCGGGGACTGCGAAGCCGGAAGATCTCCACGGGCTTCGCCATGACTGGAGGGGGCGGAGCGAGCCCAATTCAGCTGGCTGATTGGCTGCCTGAATCTGCGGGAATTCTGATTTCCTGCCTGTGAGAACACCTGCTTCTGCGCACAAAGAGGGTTTGCTCATGATTTTGGCCGATCTTGCAGGAGATTGGTGCTGTTGGTGCTGCTTTGGTGCTGGCTCATCTACATCACCCTCCAGGCCTGCATCTGTCTTCGAGGAAGTTTTGTTTTTTGTCCAGCTGCGCTGGCCGCCCGCTTTGGTTTCGGCGCAGAGTTTCGCGCTCTGGATGATTATTGAAGAAAGGCGTCTGCTCACTATAGTTTGAATGATTCTGTTTCACTCAGACTTGCTACGCCCCTTGAGGCCATGTCAACTTTAGATTAATCCGGACGCTCAGACGAATCCCCTATGAATTGATCTATAATGGTGGAGGGCCTTTGTTTCCAGGTTGTGTTTTCAAAGAACACTCATACTTTTAAATCTAGATACCAACTCAAGGACATTTTAAGAACAACAAAGCAACATATATTTGGTTCTTCAGGGCTGTTGGGAGGCTGGCACTTTTGGCTAAACCCGCGTGGCTTGCTGTGGGTTTTGCGGCTTGTGGCTTTTGTAGCTTTGGCAGCTTCTCTGGCTGTTTGCAGTTTCTCTGGTGTCCTTTTGCGTGCTCTTATGGGGGGCCCCCCAAATCCCAATAAGTCAGGGCACGCTTCTGAATTCTGATTTTCTGACCTGAGCTTGTCTGCAGCAGTGAGCGCACGATGCTGTTGGCGCCTAATGACCAACTGCACCGTTTCAACAGCAGCAGCAGCAGCAGCAGCAGCAGCAGCAGCAGCAGCAGCAGCAGCAACTACAACAACCAGGCCAAAACTGTTGGGTTGGGGGAACATTCCCGATTCTTTAAGAAAGCCTTTACTCAAGCTCCGGGATAGTTCCGCGCTTGTGGTGCTGGACAGGGCTGCCATATGTGTATATATATATATATATGTGAAAGCAAGGCTTGTTTTTGTATGGGCCGGATGTCTTTGCACGGCCGTTTGTTTAGGCCAGTCGAAACGAACAAGTGGATCCTGCTTCAGTTATTACGTACCAGAGCCGTACCCACATTGTCAATGGCACGTCTTGCATGGTCCAGTTGTATTGTGAACAGCCAGATTCAGTGGAACATTTTGTTTCCCCCAACTGGGACCATGCCACTGTCGCATGAGAATGTACACAAGAGGCACTACTAGCTCTTGTGTGATATTCATGTGGCCGCGGCTAGACTACTTTGGCTCTTATGCTGTTTAATGATTTCTATGATACTTAGTTGGTGGTATGGAGGTGTTTGGGGATATAGACATGTATATATATATATATATATATGGCTTGCCGTTGCGCAGCGCTGAATTTGAACACCTTGGGCGGAAGTCTGCCGCGTTTACTTGTGACCTGGGCGTGTCCTTTTTTGAGGGTACTCTCTCTCGCAAATCAAGACGGAACCCAAAACGGGGATCCCCCAAAGGAGATTCCTCCAGCAAAGCGAGCGTTTTGTAAGGTTCCATGTCCATTCATAGGAGAGTTCCTCTTTTGGTTCCTGCGCCAAGGGAACCCACCGAGTCGAATCGGCGCCCGGAAGACCACCAAGCCCCCCTTCAAAACCTGGGAAGCTAAGGGAACTGTAAAGGGCATGATGAAGCTATGCCAAAATGTGGGGAGTGCCACCTTTTCATCCAACTTGTTATGAGGATCCAGCAAGATTTGAGTCGTCAAAACTGGTACCCCTTGGGTCCCAGTGGCTTTGTCTAATCTATGGGACCTTTGAACTTGCTTCCCCGTGCTCGTCCACAGGTCCGGCAAGTTCTGGCCACCAGCGCGCTGCAGCTGGCCTTCTTTGGGGCCGGGAGGGCGAGCTGGAAGCCGCAAGGTCCCCCTAAGAGCGAGGGTGTTGTTTAAGCATTGGGGGCGGGGGGGGGGGTTGTCGAACAAAAGTTGGCCGCATTTTTTGCGTCCACTTTTTTGTGGTGGCGCGTATTGACGGCAGGGAGCAAGAAGGGCAACCATGTTTTTGACAACCCAGGTTTAAGAAGGGGGGTTGGCCTGGAACCGGGTCACTCAAAGTCAGCCTTGATGCACCAAACTGCAACGTGTTTTGCGGCAAACCACAGTTTTTCCGTTCAGAATCCATGCAAGGTGTATGTTTAAACACGTAGAACTCTGGTTTATTCAGGGAAGAATGGGATGTCCCAAACACAAAGCTATAGCTTTTGAGTTAGTTCTTTGTAGTCTTCAAATGACTGCACTGGCACAGGCATCTGACTGCAAGTGCGACCTCCGCAATGCAAGTTCAGGTGGAGGCAGTGGCAGTGACACGTCCTTTGCTTTAGGCCGGTGAACGATGACAACTCTTTTGGAGTTCATTGCTTGGTTCAGCAACACATATTTTCATATTTTTCAATAGGATTTGCTTGAAGGGTCAAACTCGGCAAGTGACTTAGAATCTATGCTTATCCTCCCTGTTTTGAGTCACAAGACTTAGGGCAGCTGGCTGGCTCTACGATGCAGCCAATCATGATTAGTAGCCAGTAAACCGTTGGCTCGCTGTCTGCAGCTTTCAAGGGTCACTGGTACCATCTCTGCTTGGCTGCTGCTTGTTGGCTGCTTAGTGAATGTGACTTTCAGTCTGAAGTGAAGGATGGCCACGCTGTCTGACACCGAGGTATCAGAACTTCGACCCCTACGCGATTCTGGATGTGAGCAGCAGCTCATCGAGCTCTCAAATCAAGTGCCCTGCCATTGATCGAGCTGCCAATCCCTGGCTACGTATGGGACAAGAAAGACATGGCCGTGTTGATCCTCTCCAAGATGGACTTCGGATATTTTCCCCAATCCGGCTGATTGTTTCCATAGGCAAACTCATGATATGAATACCGGGTCCGTCACAAAAAAACAACTTGCTCTACCAAGACGGCCCTGTAAGTTTCGGTATTTGATTGACACATCAACTTCTCTCTGTGTGTGTGTGTTGATGCTTGCAATAATCACAGCTCTTCTCGCTGCCAAATTGCAACAGAAGGACGCTTTGCCGAAGGACCCAGTAACCTTGCAAAGAGAAGGGCATTGCCTCAAACTTGACATTAGGGACTAGGGGCTTGCGAGTGACGCTAGGTCGCGTTGCACTGTCAAATCAATCAACAGCTACACGTGATTAGTACTGGGTCCTCGGGAAACTTGAGCCGCGAACAAAGAACTTGAGCCATTTGTGGTGTGCCATGGGGGAGCGGATACTTTGAGAGTATTTGGCGAGGGGACACTGTTGAATGTTAAGAGCACTTCCCGTCACAAAACGCACTGGCGCACTGCCTCTGGCCAAGAGATTGAGAGCGTCAAGCCAGCTAGACACATGGGAGTTGGGTTCCTTGTGTTGTTCAGCTGTGTGCCAGTAGGATTTGATTTCATAGAAGTCACAGGCTTAGATGTTGCTGACGACGCAGGTGCCACCCGTGCCGTGGGGGAGCGGACGCTTTGAGGGGTGCTTGGCGAGGGGGCGCTGTTGAATGTTCAGAGCGCTTCCCGTCACAAAACGCACTGGCACACTGCCTCTGGCCAAGAGATTGAGAGCGTCAAGCCAGCTAGACACATGGGAGCAGGGTTCCTTGTTGTTCAGCTGTGTGCCAGTAGGATTTGATTTGATAGAAGTGTTGAGGCCCACTCCCGTCACAAATCTCAATGGCACACTGCCTCTGGCCAAGATTATGAGGTGCAGTCAACTAACACATGGTTGTTCAGCTGTGTGCCAGTAGGGTTCGAGGTGATAGAAGTTGCGGGCTTAGATGTTGCTGGCGACGCAAGTGCTACCCCCCACCGTACACAAAGCCAAGTGTCTGGTGTGCCATGGGGGACCGGATACTTTGAGGAGTGTTTGGCAAAGGGGCGCTGCTGAATGTTGAGGCCCACTACCGTCACAAAACGCAATGGCACACTGCCTCTGGCCAAGATAATGAAATGGTTCAGTCAACTAACACATGGGAGTTGGGTTCCTTGTGTTGTGCTTTTCTCTCACACACACACTGATGCACACACGCCAAGGCACGCACCCCACGCCCCAATGAAGGATTGTGTCCGAACAGGCCATGTTGGCCAGGGCCAGTTCGTGGACTGCGTTCGCACCTCGTTTAGACCTCGTTAAGACCTTGTTTAGACCTCGTTAAATTGGCTGGCTAGAACACATGTTTTGCAAGGTCTCGTGGCAGGCGCAGCACTTTCGCAAGGTCAGGCGCGGATTTCGTGACAGGCGCAGTACTTCCAGAAGGCCAGATGCAGGTCTTGTGGCAGGCGCAGAGCTCTCAGAAGCAGATTTCGTGACAGGGGCGCAACAGAGAAAGAGAAAAGGAAAAGGGAAGAGACAGCACAAGCGAAAGAGAAAAGAACGAGTAAGGGTTGGTGAATTGTGGTGTGCCAAGCGTTTGCGGACATGATTCGAACAGTTTCTAAGCTCGCAACCTATCTCAGACAAGTAGCAGCTAATGTGAAAGCGCACAGCCCCGGCGCTGTTGGGGGTACACCCGGGTTTATGTTGTTTGAAACGCTTGTAAAACGCGGTGTGCCATGGGGGAAGTGCTTGCTGAGCGCATTGGTTGTCAGCTGTTTTTGGAAGATTGTTGCTTATAAACGCACAGGGGTGGCTATGAACAAAGAACTTAGCAACTGTGGTGCGCATGCGTTTGTGGACACGATTCGAACAGTTTTTAAGCTCGCAACCTAGCTCAGACAAGTAGCAGTTAATGTGAAAACGCATAGGCGCAAACCAGCCCCGGCGCTGTTGGGGGTACACCCGGGCTTATGTTGTTTGAAACGCTTGTGAAACGCGGTGTGCCATGGGGGAAGTGCTTGCTGAGCGCGTTGGTTGTCAGCTGTTTTTGGAAGATTGCTGCTTATAAACGCACAGGGGTGGCTATGAACAAAGAACTTAGCAACTGTGGTGTGCCATGCGTTTGTGGACACGATTCGAACAGTTTTTAAGCTCGCAACCTAGCTCAGACAAGTAGAAGCTAATATGAAAACGCATAGGTGCAAACCAGCCCCGGGGCCGCTTGAGGTACACCTGGGCTGATGTTGTTTGAAGCGCATGTAAAACGCGGTGCGCCATGGGAGAAGTGCTTGTTGAGCGCATTGGTTGTCAGCTGTTGTTGGAAGATTGTTGCTTATAAACACACAGGGGTGGCTATGAGCAAAGAAGTTAGCAACACTGCAGCGCATGTTAATGAATTGTGGTGCGCCAAGCGTTTGTGGATACGACTCGAACAGTTTTTGAGCTCGCAACCTAGCTCAGACAAGTAGAAGCTAATGTGAAAACGCATAGGCGCGAGCCAGCCACGGGGCTGTTGGGGATATACCTGGCCTTATTTTGTTTGAGCCGCTTGTAAAACGCGGGGGAAGTACACGCATAGGGGTGGCCATGAACAAGGAACTTAGCAACATAACATTGCATCATATGTTGGTGAATGTTGGTGCGCCATGCGTTTGTGGACGCGGTTCGAGCAGTTTTGAAGCTCGCAACCTAGCTCAGACAAGTAGAAGCTAATGTGAAAACGCACAGGCGCGAGCCAGCCACGGGGCTGTTGGGGATATACCTGGGCTTATATTGTTTGAACCGCTTGTAAAACGCGGTGTGCCATGGGGGAAGTACTTGTTGAGCACATTAGTTTTCAGTTGTTTTTGGAAAGCTGCTGCTTACAATCACATGGGGGGTGGCTATGAACGGAGAACTTGGCAACATTGCAGCATATGTTGGTGAATGTTGGTGTGCCAAGCGTTTGTGGACGCGGTTCGAGCAGTTTTGAAGCTCGCAACCTAGCTCAGACAAGTAGAAGCTAATGTGAAAACGCATAGGCACGAGCTAGCCGGACAAGGCAGTCGTAACATAAACACGCATTTTTGATGTGGTGTGCCATGCAATTTTGTAAATGGGCTAAGATCTTGGTGTTGTGGGCTAAGTTTTGTGCCATGGGGGTTGGCCACGGTGGGCCAAGTTCTTTGGAAATGGGGTAAGTTTCCTGGCGGGCCGTAGCTGCTTCCAGCTGGATCGTGCAGCAGTGGTGCACCTTGCAGGGGCTTCCCAACGGCAATCAACATTGCCCCCAGCAGTCGAATATGGCTTCGTGTTTTTTTGTTTTGGCAGGAAGCAACATTTATCCTGCCAGGTTTGCAGGTAAAACCAGTGTGCGGTACTTTCTGAGCAAAGCTACATTTGTCCCCCATTTGTCCCCTCCCCCCCCGCCGGATTCGAACGTCTCCAGTTTACAAAACATATGAATATATGGAACAAGGTTAACCTGCGTGCCATGCCATGCATTGATAAATATGCTCCAACTCAAGGTCGGCTCGCAGATGTATTCATATATATATATATATATGTGATATATGCATATACACACACTTTACACCCACGTGTCGCGTGAAGGAATGAAAACGAGGGCCCTCCAAAGTTGGGCATGGCCCTCCAAAGTTGGGCATGGCCCTCCAAAGTTGGGCATGGCCAGGAAGGCGTTCCACAAGCTCTCGCTGAAGTACCATCCGGACAAGAATCCCGAAGCTTCCGCGGCCGAGAAGTTCATGTTAGCCAAGAAGGCCAGGTGGACCTCTGACAGTCGACCACCATATCCTCTGGTTGTCAAGGCCCTTTCCAACAGGGGCCCCAAAAGGAATCCCAACGGGGGCTAATGGCCACCAATGAGGCCTATGAGGGGCGAATAGGGTTCCTTTTTTGGGGAAGGGACCAGAGGTTGGTTTAATCGTTTGGCAAGAAACATGAATGTTGTTTGCCCTCCTGCTGGTTTTGTGTTCGCGCGCTTTCCAAGTGACTATATTTGCCAAGAGGAGCTTGGTTGTGGCAATCTGGGACTTTTGCCCCCTGCGTTGCACTTCTGGGCTGGCAACATCACAGTTTCGCAAATCATAGCGATCTTGAGGGGTGTGTGTGCGACCAAGGCGGTTCCTTGCTTGGGGTTCCTTTCAGGTAGTTCTACTTCACCCGGAGAAGTTTTTGGTGTGACCAAGGCTCCAAGATCGCAAGCAAACCGGCCACCACGTTTGGCCGATTTCTCCACGCATACAAGTTGTCGAGGAGCCCTTTATGGCCGACGATCCAGCGTGGCAAGTCGGCAATGTCGCTTTTTTTTTCAGAGCAAAGCTGTAGCGCAAGCTGGTATTGGATTGTTGTATCTAGGACTTGAGATTTGGGATTTAAAAGACCAATTCCCTGAATGTGATTTATATGAGTTGAAGGGCTGCACCCCAGCTGCGCTGGCTGTCCAGAACTCAAAGGTTGGTTTGTTGCTGCGCCGCGATGTGTGGAATTGGACCCTGCCCAAAAATACTTGTTCGGGCGGGTTCAATCAAACGTTGTGACTTGGGAGACAAGCCACGTCTTTGAAAGCTATATACTCAGTCGGCGATGTCACCATGGTGATGTCAACCAACCCGTACAACTTACAACCTGTTTGCTAAGTAAGGTATTCTACAACCGTATTACTTCCAACCCGTATTACTTGCAACCCATTCTCTAAACGACCTAATTAGCACTCCAATTTGCACGACCAATGTACCTCCAAGAAGGAGGCGCCAAAGCCCCCAGCTGCACCAGGCCTACGATGCCTTGACGGACCCCGTGGCGAAGCGCAACTTCCGCCGCTTGGACAGATGGGTTCGTGCCGAGAACCAAAGGGTGGGTTGCAATTTGGCTGTGGGTCAAAAACCAATGGTACTATTTTCGGGTAGGTGCACCACCCATTTTAGACTATTTTAGTGGGGATTGGGATCTTCACTGGGGGTACGATTTGGATTTTTTGACCCATGGCCATTTTGGGGCTCTGCCATATAAATTGTAAGGCCCAAGGTTGGATGAACTGGGACCATGGCATGCCAAACACTTTGTGGACATCCAGAACAAGCGGTTTGGGTTTCGGCACCGCGCTCAACCTAGTTGTTTGCGCGCTCGGGGATCACCCCGACGCTCAGGAAGCCAGTGAGCGGTTTGGAGTGGGTGTTCGGGGATTTGAACCCCAGTTTCTTGGGGGTGCAATGGGAAGCCACCTTGGAACAGCTCCAAACCACACCATGCCAATCCAAACCACAACCACGCCAAGCCAATCCCAAGCCACCAATCCAAACCAAACCGAACCAAAGCCACACCAATCCGGACGCCAATCCAAACCACAAGCTCCACACCCGGGAGCTGCGCCCTGGAGCGCTAGGCCTTTACGGCAATCCGGATGGCCCCACCCGGGTGGAGCTCAGCGTGGCCATGCCCTCGGTGAGCAAGGCTGGGCGAAAGCCACGGCAAGGGGGGCCCAGCTCCCGGTTTTAGAGGAAAACACACATGCGGTTTTTTGTCCAGTAGCCTAGGCTTTGGTGTTCTTACAACATATATATATATATATATTGCTACTTTTTGTTTGGTTTTCCAGTGACGGCGGTTTAGGTTTTTGTCTAAAAGCAGCATTTGGGTTCAAGGGCAGGTAGCTGTTATTGTGCGCACTCACCGATCGGGCTGGAGAAAGAGGCTCAACCCCAAGTCTTCTGGGGTGGGTGGGTCAAGGTCACAAGTTATTTTTACCAATTGGCCGTAGTCAGGTGGAAGTGTGATGGGGAGGTGCGGTTTGCCCTGGCCCCATCTTTTCAGATCTTTTTGGGTCTTCTCGATGATTTGCTGCCGAAGTAGACACGGCAAACTTTCCTTTGAGGCGTTTCCCATTTCATCGCAGGAGAAGCAGGGGCTAGTGCTGGTGCTCTTCCTTCTACTCTTTGTCATCGGTGTGCCTGTGCTGATGCTCTGCTGCATGCGTGGGCCTCAGGTCGGTGAATGTGGGCAGGGTGGTAGGTCGGGGATGGGGGAAGGGTGGGGGAGCACCGGGCATCAGCTTGCAGGAGCTGGGATGCTGAGCATGGCACATGTCTTTATGGCACTTTGACATCTCAGGATCTAGTACGAGCCTTTCCGCAGGCGTGACACCTCTGCGCCAGATAGACGGTACTTGTTTATACAGGTTGGCACCTCCTTGCGCAACTACTGTCTGGGGACATGCCTCGCCTGGGCTCGGATCAAAGCAGATGCCTACTGGAAGGGGCAGGTCAACTGGCATGGAGTCCCACAAAGCTCTCCCGCAGGGAATGTTGATTTGCCAAGAAGGTGTTGCGGTGTCGCGGTCGCGAGAGATGTCCGTATGTGTCGCATGGGATCCCTGAGGCATTTTTTGCCGAAGGGTGGTACCAAAGTGGAATTCCCATCCTTATGACTACTTTTTTTTCTCAAGACATCCGCCTGGCATCGCAGATGTCCGCATGGCAAAAGGCCGAATACGGGATGGGTTCGAAAGGCGGCACGAAAGCTGGCACTGGAAACGAAAAAGCCGTCGGTTTTCCTTTTTTGAATCCCTTGCCCGGGTTATTGGGGTGCTCAAAAATAGTACCCCCAACATCGGCTCTGTTCCTTTTCCTTTAAACTAACCCCAACAAGGGTAACCTCAAAACAGACACCAGGTCCCAATCACGCTGGATCCGTCACGAATCAGGCAGTCCTCAGGGGAGCAGAACGGCCTGCCGAGCGCGAGCAATGAGGCCAGGGCTGGGTTGGGCGAAACCGATTGGCCATGACTCATCATGCTTGAGCAGCCTCACAAATCCTTGGAGATAAATCTTCATCTAAATCCCGAAAAGGAATCCTCAAACAAAGGTGCTCAACAGATTTTAAAACAGACCACGGCCCCGGTTTAATCCAGATTTCGCATTTGGAGCTACGGCGCGGGGAACTACCGCGGTGAGGTTCCCGGTTTCGTTGCTGCGTAGGCCTATCAACCTTCCAATCTTCACCACTGGTTGGGCGTTCAAACCCGCGGGTAGACAAATAGGTGATGTCACCAGAAATTATTTACCTGATCAATCAGTCTGTCGTCAGGGTCAAACATTCAAGTTGGGAGAAAGCTTTGAGGGTGACCAACACTGAACCCAACAGGCTACTGCTTTGAGAGGAATCTCCATTTTTTTGGAAACGTTTTTTGCGTGCTTCTATTTGGAATTTGGGGACTTGGAGCTGCGAGCTTCCAATTGGCTTGTCAATTGACTCAGGGCAACGGTTTGGTGCGATAGGGAACGACCGAGTCCGGGCTTTGGGAATGAACCGGAAGGGGATTCCCTAGGAAACCACAAGGGATGGTGTGCATCTCATTCCCTGCTGACAACCAAGATGGGTTCCTGAAGTGTTTGGCTCACAAAAATGGCTACATGACCTTCGACAAAAGCGCGAGCTCTTGACACGGGCCAGCCCATGTTCGCTAAGCGGGTGCCAAGCTTCTTTTGGCCCGGTGAAAAGGAGGTTAAATGCCTGGGGGCATTTCTGTTGCCACCATGCTCTGCAGAACGTGCGCTCCAGTTCATACAGCTGATGTGCCTTCGGCTTTTTAGCCGTATCCAGGTGCTTGGTCGTCCAAAAGGCTGACTCTTCTCAGACCCCGACCCGCTTTTGAGGCGAAGCTCAAGGGAACCAACCATGCCCCCAATGAGTTGGAGTCCTTTAAAACGCCTGGTTCAAGCAATCCCAAGGTGAGGAGATTGCACCAGCCACTGGTGGCCCCGATTTTCTTTGGAGGCAATCCGCACAGAAGTCCTTGTGGGGCCCGCACCAATGGCTGGGAAAGGGAGTCTCTCAATTTGCAGGGCTCAACAAAACCAAGCCCAAATTGTCTGAAACAGCCTCATTTGGTAGCCTCGCATAAAAGGTGTCTGGGGCCGGCCATCCCAAAATAAATCTCTATGTCGATGGCCTTTTTTTTCTGGACACCCCGCTTTCTTTTTTTCCCGGGGAAACCAAAAAGGACCCCCTCAATTTGAGGGGCACAAAAACAAACATGTTGAACGGATGCATCTCCGGGCCTCCCGATCCGAACGAACCAAGTCGGGTAGGTGCTGGATGCCGGCTTCGACGCGTCGATGGACGCCAAAGAGGTCCAGGCGGATGGGCTACTCGCTTGGATGGTTCATGTGGGGGTTGGGGGGAACCTCCCCCCAAAAATGTTTGTCCTTCTGGTTTCCCCGAAAAAATACACACCCCAACAAAAAGGGGTGCCTTCAAAACAGCTCACACCCAGGTGGGTTTCAGTCCTTGGTTGAAAGGCGGGCAGCCCTGACGAACCTGTCGCAAGAGCGCTCAGTGCCCAATACCTTGTTTCATTGGTTTTGCTCTTTGATGTCTAACAACTTTGGTCTGGTGTAGCGAACCAACTTGAGAACCAATGTTCTACCCGAAGGTGGTTTACGTTTTAAGTTTTAAGTGTCGGATGGCTCCCTGTATTGCATCCTTTGGACTTTTTGTGAGATCAGGTCCGTCATCCGCGTCTGTTGTTCAATTATCCTTTGTGTTTGCCTCGGGGCTCCATCAGGTTGTTCCAACACCTGCTCAACTTTGGGACGCCAATCAGAACAGGGACTGGCGATGAACGATTAGCTCAACACAGTCCTGAAATAGGTCGACCCCGGAACGTAGGTTTTCCTGATTTTCTAAGCCTGGCTGTTCCGAAAGGCTGGAGAAGGGAGCGCTTGATGTCTTTGATGAATTTCAGGGACCGAACCATGCTCTCGCCAATCCGAAGCCATTTTGGACGGGTTTCAGAGCTGCCTGCCACGCCCGAATTTCCCGAAGGCTTGGGTTTTCGATGCAGATGTGTTGACGTGGGTTACAACTCGTTGGGAGCCCAAGACAGCCAAACTCGGGCGGCAGACTCCAGGTGCCTGGTGATTCAGAGGATCTGAAGAGCCCGACCCCCAAAATCATACTTAGGGCGCAGTTTGACTTTGCGGCGGGTTCCTAGTTTCAACACGCCGCAGGTTGGTCACAAGGGTTTCAGCTAGACTTCAGGGCACCCTTGGCAACGGGCACCCGGTACGTTTCGGTCCATAAAATAGTCGTTCAAAGCTGGCCCCCCCCCCCAAAAGGAACTAAAAGAAGAGAGAAAACATGAACAGCCTCAAAATGTTCACCTGGAGGACCCAGCATCGTCACTACCCGAGGGATACCCTTTGGACCAGATTCGGGTAGACAGTTGGTGAACAGTTTCCTTTAACTTCCCACTAGATCATTCGACGTGTCAACTAGCAGTACCCCCCAAAACATGCTGGGTTTTCGTTGGTTTTCCCCTTAAACCAAGGTGAAAAGGGTACTCCCAAAGACACACGCACCCCTTGCATTTCTCTGCCTTGGTGCCTTTCGTTTCTCGCAGGACTTGGTGCTCCGCGCCTTTGCGGCGGCTGAGCCGCCGAAGCTGGCGGCCGCCGCTCGCCTTGGGTCGTTGCGCGAGGGGCCATGCGGTGTGACTCTACGCGCACTGATGTCGTTGGACGCTTCTTCTCGCGCCAAGTCACAAGAAACCGTAGCGCGAAATGAGTGTTTATAAGGACATTGCTGGCTCCCATGACGAACAACCGAACTTAACGCGACCGCATGCACGATAAGCGTCATGGTCATGAAGGTCACAAAAGCCATGGCCGGAAGGATAGAAATGGAGAAGACGCCAGGGTCAAAAGACCCCTTTGCTTGCACTTGGGATGGTCACCAACTGAATGGGGCCGACCATGACCATGACCCATGCAGAATGAAGGAGTTTTGACTGTGGCACATCTTCCACCAACCCTTGTCCCACTACTACGGTCGTTACCTTCGTACTAATTGGGGTGAACATCCATCGACGGTTTGGGCTCGGCTCCAGACACCATTCATGAGCTGTCTGAGTTTAGTCGAGCCGTGCTTTGGTGCAGGAAATTGGTGCCTTAGTTGACAAGTGGTAGGCAACGTTGACCCCATACTAATCAACCCCAGCTTTTGATAGGGGGGTGTTTCCCTCCAAAAGTGATGATTCCCCACTAAACCCTGGGACACCCCCTTCTTGATAAACTGGGGTTGATTAATATGGGGTCAACAGCCTGCGGTATTTGCCGAAACTCTCGATTCTCCCCTGTTTCCCTGTGGGTTTTCAGGGGATGGAGTCAAAGTTTCCGTTGCTTTCCAAACAAGTGACGCCTTCAGTGATAATTTAAGAGGACTGGACCCGCAAAGGTATATATATGGTCCCGTGTTCCGTGTTGCTACCCCCCCCCCCCCCCTATATGGTATGGTCCCCCAGGACCCCCCCCGGCCCGAGACCCCGAGCCCCCGGATCCTGGCACCTACGGTCCCACCCCCACCCCGACCCCCTGAACTCGCACCCCGACACCCCGGCACCCCCACCCCCAGGACAAGCCAACCCGCAACCAACCATAAACCAACCCTAAACTAACCCTAAACCAACCCTAAATACACCCTAAACCAAACCCTAAACCGTAGACCTCTAAACCTAAACCAACCCTAAATCAACATAAACCAACCCTAAACTAACCCTAAACCAACCCTAAACTAACCCCAAATACACCCTAAACCAATCCCTAAACAATAAACCCTAAACCTAAACTAACCCTAAACTAACCCTAAACCAACCCTAAATACACCCTAAACCAAAACCTAAACCGACCGTACACCTCTGAACCTAAACCAACCCTAAACCAACCCTAAATGAACATAAATCAACCTAAATCAACCCTGAACCAACCCTAAACTAACCCTAAATACACCCTACATATACCCTAAACCAATTCTAAACCAACCCTAAACCACCACAACCCAACCACAGGACCACAACCACAGGGGGGGGGGGTACTTGCCTGACCCATGACCATTGGGGGGGGAGGGGGGGGGGGCTGGCAACGCTGTACCATATATATATATATACCCCTGGCTGACTCACAGACGCTCTGGAAGGAGGGGATTCCCGCCTGGAACTGATCGCTTTGACGACTTGTCAGGGTTTCGCCCATGCTATCTATGCACGCGAAGCCGCCCATCTTTTGTTGGTGAGGAGGATTTATTAATATTATTATCATGTATTCTGACTATTATTAGGAATTACCATTACAGAACGACAATTAACCTAAAGGAACTGGCTTTGTGCTACGTCGAAATGCTTTGCTGCCCCAAAGAGGCCCACGTGCAAAGCCCATGTGCATGATCTGCAAGCAGCACGCATCCATGAAGCCTAGACTGCACCTTAGTCGCTTCTTTTCCTAGGCAGGACCAAACATGGAAGTACGCACGTAGGCAATGCATGGACAGATGGCCTGAACTGGCGAGCCTGCTTGTTGTGGACAGATGGCCTGGATTGATGCATCTGCCACAGCGCATCTCGCCCTATTGGCATGCCTCGTGCAGAAGTCGACCCTGGACCCGCTTATGTGACTACTAGGGAAAGTAAGCTCTTCGCACGGTCGCTTGATGCGAGTGTGCGGAGTCATTTGCGTGAACTCCGGCAACGTTCCTTTGCTCAGTTCAAGCACGGAGCCAGTATACCACTGCTATCCCTTTTGGAAAAACAGTACCTCCCCATCAGGTAGGGCCCCATACCAGTCGCGGCTTGTCATCATGTCGAAGTCGACCATACCTGCTACGCGTGCTGGTGCAGCTGATTTGCCGGCGTTTCTGTGTTGTTTTTCAAGCGGTCATCAGCGCTTCTTGGTCTTTGCTCAACATCTTTTGGAAGTTATAAAGTCTTACAAGCTAGCAATTCTGCTTCCTAGCGTGTGGCTGCCGGAATACCCGCAGTTCTTGTTGCTGCGCCTCCAAAAAATCAACACAGAGACGCCTCTGCATCTCAGGGCATGCTCTCAGCGCACAAACGGCTCTGTTTTCTTCAGGCATCCTTCCCAACACAGACAAGCTCGGACGCGCCAGACAACACAGCTCCACTTCGTGTTCCTGGTGAAGAGCGCAGAAACCAACGACGCGTTCTTCACGCATGCCTGTGGCCTCCAGGCGAGCACGTTGATGCTCATTAAACAAATGGCATTGCTGGCTCCGAAATCGATGACGCGCTTGCATGTCTGCATTTCCCACCGTCGTTTGAAGAATGCGCTTGCTGTAGGGCGCGGCAGCCCCGTGCTGCGATGTCGCCTTGCGAGGGAGCAACCACAAATGCGACGGGGACCAGCTGCATTAACGCCGTAGGCTAGCCTTGCAAACACCTGCTGCGCAAGCTGTTTCTGAAATAGCCCAACTAGTCCGTCAAGACGCGTAGCTCCAAAACAAGTGTGCGGTTTGGTACGATTGTAAATCTTAAAGCTCAAGCCGAAAGTCTCACGTCACGCGATGGCCCCACCTGTAGTTGCAGCCCTCAACTCTGGACATGCTGCAGCCCTGCTACCTTGATTATGCTTTACACAACACAAGCCAGCCTCACTCCGATATATGCAAAAATCTTCATCAGGCATTAGCAACACAGTGTGGATCCTCAGCTCCAAAGCTTGCACCAGCTCTTGCAACCCAAACTTCTCACTACCCGGAAAAGAGCGCAACTAAACATCCGAAACGTTGTAGCCCGCAAAGCCTCGAAGGCGTAGCTTGTATCTTTTTTGCCTTATGAGACGCGCCAATGTCACTACTGCAGTGGATGGCCTGAACTAGCGCACATAATCCTGCATGCTGCTTGGAGTGCTTGGAAAACATACTTCGCTGCGGTGCACAAGTGGATGACTAAAGCCTGAGGCTGCAGGGATGCAAACAAGTCAAGCCAAACTCAAAAATTGCGCTCGTCGAACCGGAGCGCGGCAGGTACTCCAGAAAATGCAAGCTTAGAGCTAGATCTTAGCGATGCAGCTGTGACACCCCGAGCAAAAACACAAGGCATGGCTAAAGTGCCGCCCTGAAGTTTGGGTTGGGACCATCTCTCCAAGAAAGCCATCCATAGACCTGAACGGGGTGCCGAATCCCATTTGTTTGGTGCATAAGGCAAACCCAGAGGGTGGCTAAAACGAGGAACCCCCAAACTAGTTTGTTGGTCTTCCGGGATGCAAGTTCCAAACAGAAGGGTCCAGTATCCGACCATTCCAGGTGCAGCTGGCAGACCTTCGCCGGCAGCACCTTGGCAGAGTTGATGGAGACCTGGATCGGTCTGCGAGCGCAAGTTGAGGGGACGGAAGGCGGAAGGAACCAAGAGGTTCCCAGGGCGAGTCCCAGGGCGAGTCCCCCTCTTAAGGTGGTTGAATTCGAGATTTCTGCATTCCCTCGTTTCCGGCGACTGGGGGTGTCTCAAATTTGCACCCCCAAAATGTGGGAAGTTGCCTCTTTTCCCTTTAACACCACCCAAAAAAAACATCGGACACCCTCAAAAAAGACAGACCCAAATGAAGGCAATGCAGGGCTCAAAGACTTGGACCCAGCTAACTTGCCACAAATGAACCCTTGAACCCTTGAACACGATTGATTGCCATACGCCATTGACTATTGGATACCATTGAATACATAACACTTTGGAATGCTATTGGATATTGAAGACTATTGAACACCGAAGATTTCGATGTAAACAAGCCCTACCGAGTTTTCGTGCTCGTGGTGAGGGTCTTCCTGGGTGTAAACCATCTGATTCGAAGCTCTTGGGGTGAAACAAGCTTGCCTGCGAAGGCGCCTTGCTTAGGTTGCTTGGGGACTCCTCATTTTCAATTGGAAACTGCAGTAGAAACCACGGAAACCATAGGGAAACCATAAGGAAACCATGGGGAACCATGGGGAACCATGGGGAACCATGAGGAACCACGGGGAACCATGGGGAAACTATAAGTAAAGCATAGAACACGATGGACACCCGAGAAACCAGAGAAACCCGAGAAGCCATGATTCGCCCTCCGTATATTTCCACCAACGTTGGTTGGCATGGCGGGCGGCTGTGACCCGACCAGACAGGCCAGGCCCAGCCGTCCAAAACGGGCAGTTGGAGGCGAGTTTGGACAAACTTAAAATGGGTATGGTCAAAATTAAACCAGGGGGCCGCAGGTTTTATCTATGTTGCAATTTATCAGGGTTCTATTTTGGGTACCTATCTTGACCCACAGCCAAATAGCTGCGGCTATTTGCCCTGTTGATTCTCGAGATGTTTTGGGGGTGGACTCCTGCAAAAACCAGGCGTTGAGTTTGATTCAACTGGTCGGGTGCCTTTGTGAACCACGACACGTCCATGGTCAGCGGCAGGGTTTGGTGAATTGACAGCGTGGGCGCTCTAAATCAGCGTGCCATGTTGGCGTTTCTTGTTACTTGCTGATGTGTCAGACCATAAACATGAAGAGCGCCAGTTTGATTCTTGCTGTTCCAATTCCAAGAGCATATGCCCATTCAGCGTCAGGCAAGGGTGCCTGCTCATGTGAGGCTTGTTCACCCCCCCCCACTACCCTACCATGAAAAATGACAGCGGCTACTTGGATGCTTGCTCATGCGAGGCGTGAGGCTTGTTGAACCCCCCTACTCCCCTACCATGGAAACTACTTGCAATGCAAGGGATAGTCCAGCCCCTTCAGGTTTGGGTTGGGACCATCCCCGACAAACCTGTGAGCTAACAGACTCAGTGCAAATTTTGGGACTGCCATGTGGCCACGTGCAAAGAGGGCAAGCTGCATATGGTCGGATGCCCTGGTACCCGACAGCTCTTTGGTTTGACCCAGGCCTTTCGATTCGGAAAATGACTGCCCTAACGTTGCAGTTCCGCAGGACTGGCAGCTGGCACTGTTGGTCCGCATGATCCAAAGGGAGATTCTCAAGTCCGACAGCTGTGTTTGGTTTGCTCAACAGGTATGCAGCCCCATTCACGTGTCGACCGCTCGGTTACGCGGCCATTGGAACGAAGGCTGCAGTCAGCTGGCGCGACCTTTCGCAAGCGGAAGGAGGAGGATGCCCAGGCGAGGAGAATATGACCACAACCTTTGGTTGGCTTTGAAGATCCAGGCATTTCCCAGCCAAATAATTGGACTTCCAGTCGCTTAAGAGTTTTTACGACAACAAGTTGAGCTTTTAGCTAGTGATCAACGAACCACGAAGAGATGGCTTGCACTTGCCTGGCTCAACAAACCAGCCGGATTAAATGCAGGGAGGGTGTGATGTCCTTAAAAGTGAAGCCCTACTGCTCAAGCGGAAAGCTGTCAGCAAGCTCATGGAAGATACGCCGAATAATGATGGAGCTGCATATGAGCCATTTTAAGGCTACCCTTTTGGGATTGTGCCACGCACAAAGTTGTATGCCGTGGAGGTCCTGGAGCCCACTTTCGCGGCGTTTTTGGGCCTTTTTGGAGGTCGCGAAAAGGAGGCGGTGTTGCCCGAGAGGCAAGTTTGTTTGCGGCTTCTTGCTCGGCAATGCAGCGTCTGGCTCCTTTATTGGGAAGCTGCAAGCCCATTTGCGGTTCTATGTCCCCATAGTGACAGGCTCTCATTGGGACAGGCTGAGCCAAGGCCGGCAAAAGCATGGCAGTCCACTTGAATGCAAGAGCTGTCGAACCCAGATACAAGTTCCCTGCTCTGAATGCAACGGGAAAAGTCACCTGCACCTACCATGGGCTCAAGGTGATCACTTATTATCGAGCTGCAGGTACTATGAATATAGGAGAAGGATTCGTATGTATTGGTTTATTGCATATGGGTGTGTCTCTTTTGATGGTACCCCTTGCCTAGTGGTATTTTCAAGGGACATCAAAAGGACGCCAACCGTTTTCGGGGGTTCCCATGAAAAACAGATTTGGGTATGCCTTCCCTTCAGGTTTCTGCAGAAAGAGAAGGAAAACCATTTCCACCGGTCTTGTTATTCAGAATATGTTTGGGGACGCCTGGGCTTATCTTGGAACCTTTTCGGGCTGATCCACCAAGAGATGACCCAACACGCTTTCAGCATTTTTCTCGGGATCATCTCATTGTGGTATGATAGTTGTTTACATCCAAGGAGCGATGATCGTGAATGTCGTTCTCACTTTCACAGGGATGCCGCCAGAACCCTGAGAACGCTCCCTTGCTTGGCTGCCAGGAGTTGGCCCTGCAACAGGCAGCCCCTCAACTGCAATTGGCCGAAGGCTTCGCCGCCGAGGTAGAGTAGATGGAGACGCGTCTGGTTTTGCTCTTTACCGCGCGGAGGTCTGGAGTTTGAATCTTAACATTCGGATGCCCGAAAGAGCGGAGGCATCGGGTCATCTGCCAAACATGCCACTTTGTTGCGCATCGAAAAATGGGTCTCTCACGGTCACTTCCTCAAGTTCTGGGATTTCGCATTCGGTTCCCTTCCGTACAAGGACCCTGAGAAACCCATTCCTCGGCTTCCTATCGCCCCCCCTTGGTGTCCAGGAGGCGCTGTTTTGGGCCCATCTGCTGCGGCGCCGGGAGTCGCTGAGCTCCGTCCAGCTGGACGCCGCGCTGCTGCGGTGGCAGGCGAATGGGGATGGTGCGATTCGCGCGTGCGCCTTCCCAGGGCCGAACCTTGGGGGTGGGCTGGGGTTGGCAAGAAGTCGGCTGGGGTTGGGGCGAAATTGGTTCACTCAACCTGTTGGTGACCGGTTCCTGAGTGCTGAAACCCCTGGAAGCCCGCAATGTTCAAGCTGCGTCCTCTTCTGAGCCACTTTGGATGGCTCTCTCCAGCTTGGTTGTTGGCCATGTTTGCCACAAACCAACGAGCAAACTGAGCAAAGGAGCAAATGAGGGCTTAGGGTTTGGCTTACGTCATTTGGCTTCCAGTGGACCCAAGGCTGGTTGAAGGATGCAGGACCAAACCATGCGCCATGCGGCCTTACGCACAGGACATGAGGTCTGTTCCTGGGTCAGCAGTTATTGGGGATCTCGCCACAAACCACATTCTGCGGGGTGGCACATGCAGGAAATGAGTCAGAGTTTGGCTGGATAGCAAGGGAGTGTCCAATCAAGCCTCTGGCAAGCGGGATGAAAGTCTTTGATGAGGATGAGGCCAACCTTGAGCTGAGTTTTGGAGAGCAGGATGTTACCACCCCCTTTTCTTGAACCTCCAGGGCAGAGAGATCCTTTTACATTCAAAGGTTCACGAAGCATGCCCATCATCTTACAATGTCATGTTGACCTGGCTAAAACTGACGTCGAGGTGGTGGCACGCTTTTGTTCCTCCTGACATGGATTCCTTGCCTCTGATGGCGAGCGAGAGGCAGCCTGCAAAGCCATACTCCAGCGCGCTGCCAAGCAAGGCCTGCGCGGTTCGCAGGTGGGATTAGAGAAAACCAAAAGGCAAGTGCGGCAGTTTGGAGGTTGCCCAGGGCATTCAAGAAGCAACTGCAGATTGTGCTTTCGCTTGCCCTTTCTGGAGTATGGGGCTGTTGTGACCTGGGGTCGTCCACACTGCTTTTGCTTGCCCTTTCTGGAGTATGGGGCTGTTGTGACCTGGGGTCGTCCAGACTGCTTTTGCTTGCCCTTTCTTGAGTATGGGGCTGTTGTGACCTGGGGTTGTCCAGACTGCTTTTGCTTGCCCTTTCTGGAGTATGGGGCTGTTGTGACCTGGGGTCGTCCAGACTGTTTTTGCTTGCCCTTTCTTGAGTATGGGGCTGTTGTGACCTGGGGTCGTCCAGACTGCTTTTGCTTGCCCTTTCTGGAGTATGGGGCTGTTGTGACCTGGGGTCGTCCAGACTGTTTTTGCTTGCCCTTTCTGGAGTGGGGCTGTTGTGACCTGGGGTCGTCCAGACTGCTTTTGCTTGCCCTTTCTTGAGTATGGGGCTGTTGTGACCTGGGGTCGTCCAGACTGCTTTTGCTTGCCCTTTCTGGAGTATGGGGCTGTTGTGACCTGGGGTCGTCCAGACTGTTTTTGCTTGCCCTTTCTGGAGTGGGGCTGTTGTGACCTGGGGTCGTCCAGACTGCTTTTGCTTGCCCTTTCTTGAGTATGGGGCTGTTGTGACCTGGGGTCGTCCAGACTGGGGCTGAGACAGCAGACTGAGCTTGGCTGAGGGGTTGGCTTCCAAGTAATTTGGATGGCTGTGGGGGATGGGCTTGGGAAGACATAAAGAGGAATCCCAGCGCTGAGGTTTCAGATGCTGTGCCAAAGCTTCGTCTATGTTTGGTTCTCGAAAAGGGCTTGAGGCGACGATGGAATGAAGAGGGCCAAGTCTCGTAGCGCCTTGAGACTTGAGCCCAGGCTGCCATTTTTGGGTTCCTTTTTCTTAACCTCGTGTCGTGCTGGTCCAAACAGGTTAGGTGGGTCAGGAAAACGCAGACGCTTTGGTCTTGAGGTTTTTTCAACTGCGGCTACACCAAGGGATTCTCTTTGGTCGAAAGCCACTGGCCAGCTGCGTCTTGTTTTTTTTGCTCCTTTGCGTCGCAATCTCACCTTCGCCTTTCGAGACATCTGTTTCTCCTTGAGCGTGGCCCAACAAACAATTGCTCCAAGCCGGTTTCGGGCCAGCATTTTTTGGCCCCGCCCCTCCTCTCCCCCCCCCCCGGTTTTGGGCACATCCATCCATCCTCAGCCAGGCATGGCCAGCACGCTGGGCGGTTGCCTGGAGGTGTACCGGGCCCTGGTGCAGGCGATCGGCTGACGTGCGAGGGCGCGCAGAGTCGGACCCCTGGTATTGGGCAAAACATATATATATATATATATATGATATATATATATATACACATGTATATATATATATATACATATTCAGAATGGGCTGTGAGGTACTCAAGAACCGAAACATGATCAGAAGAGAATGTGTGTGTGTGTGTGTGTGTGTGTGTGTGTGTGTGTGTGTGTGTGTGTGTGTGTGTGTGTGTGTGTGTGTGTGTGTGTGTGTGTGTGTGTGTGTGTGTGTGTGTGTGTGTGTGTGTGTGTGATTGTTTACCGTTTGTGATTGTTCAGATCTGCTCAGTCGTAGGGGTGCTTAGATGGTTTGCTCTGCCGACATCTACCGGCGTGTTTGCCGTTTTGATCTCTACTGTTCAGTGTGGATGCCTCAACAACGGAAATGCACACTCACACACACAAACAAAAGCACACATAACAACAAACAAAGAGAAATTTGATGGCTCGTCCGCCAGTAGTAGATGTCTATCAGGGAAACAGTTGCACGGCTTATTGCTTGATTGGGTTTTCTGACCCGGCTGTTAGGTGCTTTCCGACCGCAGGATTCTGTCGTTTCGGTAAATTACACCCTGCAATTATACTGGAAGTGCTCCTTTGAGGCTATATCCAGAGACCTTGTTGTTGGACCAGCATGTTGGGGTGAAACCCCTCCTGTTTTGCAAAACTCTCCGGTTTTGATGCGCAGCGTGGATCAATGCGTGCCAGGATGGAGGAAGCGTCAGTCAGGGGTTGTATCTAGTGAGAGTTCTGCAATGGCCACCATCTTACACAGGGGCCACAGACAGACAATTTCATTGGGGAATATACGGATGATGTCAGTTTGCCCGGATTTTTGTCGCCGGATTAATGTGCCCATTTTGCCACAAATTTGTGTCGTGGCCCACCTTTGTGGCTTTCTTTGAGCCCATTTTCAAGCCGAGCAACACAACCACACTGGACTTAGAAGTTAACTACCAGAAGCTTCATGGCGACCTGAATGGCTGTCGACCAAAAGTGCTTCCAACATGCGGGGGCCTCTGAGGAAAGGTGTCGTGTTGGTTCACGCACCATCCAAACAGACATTTTTGGAAATTTTGGAAACACCGATCTGGACGTAAATCTCTGTAATGGATTGGGGCCCTCGTACGGAGTGCAAGCAAAGAATGTACTTGACACAGTCTTCCACTGTTTATCCATGCCAAGGGCCATGAGACTGATTGAATCTTCCTCATTTGACAGGCAACAAGGAGGTTTCAGAGGATATCTTGGACACGTTGCGCTTTTTTTTCCTCTTTTCTTATTTCTCGAGATTCTGTTGGGATGTCAACTCTGCAACCCCTCCCCGGGTCTCCCATGGTGCCCTCCCTGCGCGGGTTGCGCGAAGGCTTTGGAGCCTAAAGGCTCGCCCCTCATGCAGCACCTTGGCTGGAACTCTGTGGGCTGAGCTCGAATTTGGATGGACGCTTTGAATGGACTTCGAGAGGAATGTCGTTTGTTTCAAACTAACTTGGGCGAGCAGGTTGCGGAAAATCGCAGAGCGCGCAGGAGCATCATTTTTTCTGAGCCAAATGGAAGATCCTTTCCATGATGCTGCTGCTGATGATGATGATGATGATGATGATGCTGCTGCTGCTGATGATGATGATGCTGCTGGTGATGCTGATGATGATGCCGATGATGATGATCATGGTCATGGTCATGGTCATGACTTGGATTGTTTTGCTCGAACAGCCTTGAGGCCTTTCCTTTGCAAGTAGTACGAGGGGCCAGATAACCACAAACACTAATTGTTCCCCAATGATGATGATGATGGTGATGATGATGACGATGCTGATGCTGATGCTGCTGCTGCTGCTGATGATGATGATGATGATGCTGATGCTGATGCTGATGCTGCTGCTGCTGCTGCTGCTGCTGCTGCTGCTGCTGCTGCTGCTGCTGCTGCTGATGGATGATGATGATGATGATGATGATGATGATGATGATGATGATGATGATGATGATGATGATGATGATGCTGCCGCTGATGCTGCTGATGATGATGATGATGATGATGATGATAATAATGATGCTGATGATGATGATGATGCTGCTGATGATGATGAGATGCTGACGAGGATGAGGATGAGGATGACGCTGATGATGATGAGGATGATGCTGATGATGATGATGATGATGATGATGATGATGAGGATGATCATGGTCATGACTTGGATTGTTTTGCAGTACAGCGCAACTCTGGAATTCTAAAACCCCTTTATGCTTTCGTGGGCTGAAAGGTGGGCTGCTCTTCCGTCACGTCTTCTTGTTCCTGTCGGGGACTCACGAGCCATCCGTTTTGTTTTTTTTTTTTGTGTTGCGCGACAACTGAAGAGTCTCCACAACACGGACATAGTCGAAGCAGTTGCTTGGCCTAGAGTTTCCTGCATCTTTCGGTTGTTGGCAAACGTGGGGGACCCGTGGACTTGCCAACGTGCTGCTTTCCTATGTTTCCTCTGGGAAGAATTCAAGGTAGCCGTGTACCGGCCCACTGCATTCCCAAAGGCCAGCGGAGTTTGCCATCGCTTTAAATGCCAAAGCTGAATAAAGATACATCGAAGCTTATCAAGCAAACAGTGTCACAGCCCCATATTGGACGTGTTCCAAGATGGTACCACTGGCAACGCGCGCACAGAATTCGATCACTCGTCTATGGCTTGCAGATACATGCACTCCTGCACATGGAAGCCAACCAATCTTTATTTGCAGAGGGATCCTTCCTTTGGGGGCACTTTTGGGTTCCATGCAAATCTACATCGGAGTATCCCTCCTGGCATTTTCGCCACGAGTTGTGATGATCACGGGTCCTGCCGCCCTTTCTCACGCTCTGGTTTCACAGACTCCTTTCTTCCAGGATTCCCCACTTCACTGCGGAGCAGGTGAAGCGCTTTGGCAAACACCCAGCTCTGGAAATTTCGTGGACCTGGGGGGTGTCCCTGGCTAACGGTTGAACGGGTGACCGCGCTTCTAAAAGGGTCAACGACAGTTGGGGCAGGTAAAGGTGCTTATAGGCATGGGGCCAATAGGGAATGCCCACAAAAATGGTTAGTGGCTTACATTGCTTAGGATGAGCAACATACCAACGGGGAACAGAGCGAACGGGACCAAGCAACGCAAACAACACGGGCCCGCTTGAAAGAATTACCTTTAAGCCATGAGTCGAGGCCTCCTTCAGGCAAAAGGCTAAACGTATGCGAGTGCATTTGGGTGTGTCATTTTTGGAGGGCACCGTTTTGGGAGTGGTTTCAAAGGCAAACCATGGGGGTTCCCAAAAATAAATCACCAATTCTTTGGGGCGCCAAAAAAGGACACACCCATTTTGGGAATGAAAGGGATACCACAGGGAACACGCCATTTAGAAGCCCAGCCCGATCAGTCCAAAATGTCGAGAGATTCAGATGATAGAGCAAAGTCCCGTGGCACAGAACTGGATGTTGCTTTTCGCAAAGTGTCATACCGGCTCAATTGTCGGGCGATGACGTGGAAAGCCAGCTCAACATCACCCCAAGGTAGGCCAGTGATAAGATTGAAGCCAAGCGCATTTTGATCCTCAACTTATCCCATAATTCATTCCGCGGATGATTCATCAATGCCGATCGCGTACTCGGGCTGAAATCCATGTTGATCCGGCTTGAGGGTGAATTTTCGTTCACCCAGATTGTCTGTGCTCCCTTGGACCTCTCCCACTTCAGTATGGACCGCGTCGAGGTCGCTGTTGACTGGCTACACGACCAGGCTCCCGAACCGAGTTTCCAGTACTTCGGTCATCCCGACTCATGGTTCATCTCAACTCGGCAAGGGCTGGACTCTCGCACTATAACTTCTATGTAGGTGGGGAATTCATATACTTGAGGAAGAGATGGTAGAGAAGACGCCTCTACAAGAGTGGATATATATATATATATACTACAAGTATGTGTGTCTTTGCGCGAGAAGACACTACCCCTCTCTGACCTCTCTTCGCCTTTCCGTCCTCGGGCCGCAGAACGGAGGCTCTGGCAGAAGCGCAACAAGAAGTACGTCTCTTTGCCTGCATTCCTTGGGATGTCCTCTGAGGACGGGCAGACAGTCGCGCGCCACTCTCGAACCTCAACTTTTGGATGCACTTCAAACTCAACAAATCTATGTGAGCGAATCATGTTTTGTGAGCACTGCATCACATTGCCTGTAGGAGGGCATGTTACATCCCTTATGCACCCTTCAAAGAAGTTTCGCAGAGCCTTTCCTGGGGACGGAGAAGGAAAGAGGTCCTGCCGTTTTCCCTGATGGCAGTGTGACGCAATGCTGGTTGTGCATACGGCTTGGAAAATACAGGGAAACATGCGGCAGCTCAGGCCTTACAACTTTTGCAGTCTTCTGCGTTTGAGATGATGCCCTCAAGCCATGCCCTTGACAGAACAACCGAACTCCTTTGTCTGCAGCGCAACGATTGCATTTTAGTTTGCCGCCGTGCCCCAGAGCCTTGGTGGGTCCTGTCGGAGAGTCATTGGACCGCCTACTTGGGGTCATCCCACTCGAGTAGTTTACAAAGTACCATGAGGTTGCCGCAGCCAGTCCTGGCTATAACTTGCTTACCTGACTTCGGATGAACCGCCATGTTGCTGAACCGAAAAAGCCTGATCTCATGGTAGAAAATTGGCTCAAGTTTTGGAACTTGTTTTGTTTGACTTTTGGGTTCACACATTGCACTGTTTCTCCAAACTCGCAAAGCGGTGTGTTGTTTGCTACCTGATTTGTTGAAGTAGCTTGTTGCTCCATTGCTGTGTGCGCGCTATGTCGAACAATCCAGGGCATGAGTTGATGTTCCATAGTGATGCCCCTGTTGTAGTTCTGCCTGACTTGTGCTCTGAGGGTTCTAATCTGTCCAACCAGTGCTCCGTGAGCTCGCTCAACTCCTCCTTGTGATTGGGGGCTGTATGCTCCTGAATTCGTTGTTGTGGTGTTGCGATTCTTGTTGGCCACTGCGGTGAGCAAAGCTGTCAGAATGTCTTCCTGGTCTGACTGTAGGATCGTGTGTATTGTCCTTCCACACAACGGGGAAGTGTTGTAGTTGTGTGACCGCATAGCCAGAGAGAAGCCGCTTGTTAGCCAGTTGTATGGCCATGATCATCCCGGACTGGGTGTCAATTGTGTTGGGTTCACGTTGCTGTAGTGAAAGCCTTTCACTTTCATGTGACCGAAACCTAGTTGCACGGTTGGGAGTTTGCTGTGCTGCCTTGGATGATTGTTTTGTTTGCGTCTGGATTGTACGCTCCTACGGGGCAGGTGTGACATTGTGTTTCTCGTGGTGTTGACTGCTTCGGTGCTTGTACTATCTTTATCTTTGCTTTGGGGTGCTGTTGTTGGTTTTCATCATTTGGTTGTATGTTTTCATGGTGGGCAGGCCAGGTGAGCAAGAGTTCTTTTGGGCAAAGCTGGCAATTTTAGCTGCAAGCCTTCTTTTGATTGTAACACTAGTCAGGCTGCCGCCGATTGAGTCTTTGACAGGCCTCACTCTTGGCACGCAGCTTCGGTTGTTTGGCAGTACTTCAGACTGATCGCCCCCCCCTCACTATGGAAAGCGGTACTTTGAACTTGTTGTTTTATTAACGCCACATGTCTTCCCTTCTGGGCGGATCGTTTTGTGTCGATGACACGGACATTCTTTCAATCGAAAGTAAGGCGCTGTGAGAGCTCACGCGAATGGGAAGTCCAGTTGTGTTGGAAATTCTTGATCCTCAAAGTCTGTCGAGCCTTCCCAAGGCTTGTCTGCTTTCTCCCGTGGTACTGTCTGTTCATCTACAAGCTTGGTGCTGCGTTCTTCTCCAACAAGCTGTGACTTAGCCTGGTAAGTCGCTTGATGTCTGGTCCGTCATGTTGCTCCGGGATGTAAAATGCTGCGTTTGGTTTAATCTGTTCCCTTTTCCAATAAGGGCGTTCTCTGCACCATGCCAGTAGTCTCCTCCATCTGTTGGATGCGGTAGCCTTTGTCCAGCTTCACCACAAGTGGGTGGTGCCACCGTTTCTGGTGTTTTTGGTGGTGGTTGTTTTCCCTTCAGTCTTCTGCTGGGGTCGTGTTGGGTCACTTGTGGTGTAGCCTTCTGCGGTGTATTCTTGGCTGTGTCTTTGTCACTGTGACCAACGGCATCATCACGCGCCGCGCAACTCGCAGAACACCAGCAGGTTTTGCGCAGCATCATGTTTCTGCGCGCCGCGTCGCCTCAATATTGTCTATGCGGAAGCAGTTACCTCGCACCGCGTCATCGCACTGTCATCGTGATCAGTCGAAGGGCGCAAAGATCCTGTTTGGGCTGTATTTCAAACCAAAGGCTTTATCCCAAACCAAGCTTGACAACTCGAACGTCGGTGATTCCGTGAATACTTAGCAGCTGCCCTCGTATAGCATTGCCCTTGTCCCATGTTGCAGCTCTTGGAGCACTTCGTTTGTTGACATCAGTGTTGTGACGCGTGCCAGCGCACCCTTGCACTTGTTTTTGTGCGCGCAAGCAGTTCGCTCCCTTGTGTGAGGCTGAGTCCCTTCAACTCGTATGTGGTGAGAGCAAGCAGCGCCAACGTAGGCAATGGATACAGCTGAGCAGCAACACAAGCTACATAGTAGTGAGCGCGTGCGATGGACCAATTTGCAGACAGAACGTGCAAGACCATGTAGACTCCTACATCTCAGACCTCAGACACTCACTGCCACCTGGCGCAAGAAGCCTTGGGCTTGCTCCAACAACAGCCTGCAACACAACACGGGAGTTTCAACTTGAACAGTGCAGCAACGCTATTACCAGATGCTGCTAGGTCGCAATGCTGCTGAATGAGGCCAACAGAGCGCTGCAGCAGCACTTACAATTGCAAGCAGGAATCATCGCAACATGCGCGCAGATCAGGGCGCCAGTGGTTGAGTGTCGCAGGACAGCATCATCATTCACCAAGCTACAAGCGCTCGCAACAGCTGACGGCAGCAATAGACATAGGAGCAGCATGGCGCAACAAATGAGAGAGGCCAAGGAAAACGCAAAGGAAAGCCCAACAAGTGCAAAGGCTACGACAACCAACGCTACGACGGCTTGGTCAATTACAATCACGACCACGGCCGCAAGAAGGAGAAGGAAACAGTACGGCCACTGACTGGACGAGGCGACGCGTTCAAAGGGCAACAAGGATGTAGTGAATGAAAGTGACACCGCGACAGATGACACGACAAAGTGAAACGGCTGCAGCAACCACCAACTCGCAGGTAGAGGACGGCATTTACAAAAAAGAAACGCACAACGCGTTTGCTACAGATGTGGACAACCTGGACACATGGCTAAGCGACGCAGACTAGACAGTGACAGATGAATGTTTGACAGTGCTTTTCCAGCTACAGCAACTTGAGCAAGGAACAGGGCCACAGCGAAGAACAGCAAACAACCAACGCATCAAAGCGCCGGTGGTCGGTGTAACCCAATAGACAACAGATCGTCACACAATTCTACGTTGGCGACGTTAACCAGCCCATTTTTGGGTTACAGGGAAGGCGCTGGAAGAAGGCTTGCTACCTTCAGGCTCCGCCTGGCACCAGGCGAAGGCGGTGGGCAATGCGCCAGACATCTGAGTTACCTGAGTCTTGCTTACGCGGACTATCAGCTGGAGGAGAGGTGGATGGGCCTGCGTCGCCTGCTCTGGATCGCCAATCGCCAAAGAGGGCGTTGACGCTGCGCGGAGCTGCGTGGTGTCATGTTTCTGCAACTGAGGTGGCAGAAGGTCATTGGTGGAAGATCTCATCATTGCGCCCAGCCTACGGAAGACATTTTCAACTAGAACCCGCAGACTAATGGCAGAGACAGGGGGCGCTCGCCTCCTCCATTTAGGCGCAGGATGAAATCTTCTTTGGCTGGTCTGTGAACATCGAGATTTGTGGCAGGACTTTGCGTGAAATCGTCAGGCCATGGAGTGCTGTTGGAGAAGCTCTAGACAGAGCTATGAAGATCAAGTTTGTGCTCGTTGTGCGATGTTGCCCCTGCGAGCCTTCCGCATTTCAACCTCGGCACCTGCTTCACGGCCTATCCAAACATAGTCATTGCAAATGTCTGTTGACTGTTGCTTTGGCCAAGCTGATTCAGTGTAAGAGTTTTAGTAGTGTCCTTTTCTTAGCAATGGACAGCCGTGTGGCTGTCCGGCGGACGTTGGCGCGCCCGTTGGGGGCAAGCGGGTGCGCCCGTCCAACGCAGCGACATGCAGCCCCAGCCTGAGGGCGCACGCGCCCGGAATTGGAGGATGCTTTGCTAACCACCGCTCTTAATGTCAGGGGCTACTTTGCGCTACCCTGCCCTGGTACAGTTCCTGCGAATAAGAGTGTGCTCAGATGTGCGCCGCGCCAAAACAGGAGTTGTGTCCCTCCAGTTTGTAGTGGGCCGGGGTATGGCTGTATGGTTGGGGGGGGTGATGTGACTCTGCAGGGTTTCGTAAATTTGTCAGGACGCCAAGTTATGAGAAGCAGCGACATGTCCGCTGTGTTGTTTGTTTTGCTTTGCGGCATTACTTCCGACTCACCGTTAGCGTGTGTCCCGGGCATCGCGAGTACAAGTTGTGATTTGTGGCTGGATTGGTTTCGCTGCCTTAGCCGTCCGTTGTATGCTGGATCTTGTAGTCCCAGTACGCTGTCATCTTGTACTTCCAGTACTCAAGCGTGGTGTGTCTCCATTGGCGCGTAGTGGTTCAATCTTGTACTTGCGTGCTCCTGGAAAACTGTTGTTGCTGTTGCTGTCGAGCCATTCCTTCTTGTGTGTGGGTGTGTTTGCGGTTGCCGCTCCGCTACCATGTCGAACTCAAACCTGTGAGTGTGGCCTGGCCCGTGGCAATGTGGCACTCTCTTTTGTACTCGGGCTCGTGTGGATCTGCTGTACTCAGCTCAAGGCCTGGGCTAAGATGTAGCACGAGCGCTGATGCGCGCACAGCTGATGTAGGACATTTGTTTAAAGAGAACGTTTCTGGCAGGGAGGGGAGAGGGAAGGGAGAGGGAGGGGAAGGGGGAGGGGAGGAAGCATCCGGACACTCCCCTCCCTCTCCCCTCCCCTTCCTCCCTTTTCCGCCACCCTCGTGCGAGGAGCGCAGCAAGGCGTTGGCCGCGGAGGAGCTGGCGCTATCGCCGGAGCAGCGGGCGGCACCTCGAAGGAATAAGGATGCACCAGACGGATGGGCGCGGGCGCCCGAACTCCTAAAAAGGTTGGACAAGGTTCTGCCAGGTTTCAGAGGTGGTATGGCCAATGTGAACCTAAACATGGTGGCAACCAAGAGTTCTGAGCACAGCTTTTGAATGAGGTTTAAAATGCAATACTTCCTGTGGTTTTCACAAAATTTTGTGAAAGACAAGACCAAAGCGCCTAGAAGAACAAAGACACCAGAACGTTGTTTGTGTGGTGCAGCCAATGGTGTGGATGGTGGTGTAGCTGGTGGTTTGGATGCTGGACGCCTGATTGCTTTGCCAAGCGACTGGAATCGATTCGGGTCCAGCCTTGGCGTGGCATTTGACGCAAAGGGAACCCTTTTTGCCTGTTCTCGGACACACCCCAGCGCTGTTCCCTGGTTTTTGCGCCACGTTCTTAGCGTCCGTTTTGGTCTCAGGATATCGATGAGTTCGTGGCGTGTGCCCCGCAGATGCAGATCCAGGAGAAACTGCACGGGTGTCCAGAGTTTGTCGGCTGTGACTGATTGGTGGAGGGTAAGGGTTGGTTTCTCATTTTTCTACAAGGAGACTTGGGTATACCATTGAAGGACCTAGCACGCAGCGCAGCTCATTTTAAAAACCACTGCAAGGAGAATTCAAAAACAATTGCACGCCTTTCATATGCATGTATTTTTTTTTGGGGGGGGACCCACTAAAATGGTGGGTTTCCTTTTGGTTTCTCTTTGCACACAAAAATGGTACCCTCGAGAAAGACACCCTGCGCCGCATTGGATCATCGAGATCTTTCGCTAAGCGTGCCACGGTTTCTGGAACGCTTTACCCCACTTGAGCGACGTTCTAAAACTATTTGAAAGCGGTACTCGTGAGGAAATATGGGTCGCAACATGTTGTTTTCCCTACGCCGCGAAAGGTCGCTTTCGCGAAAGGGGGTATCCATTTATATGTCTCTCAAAATAAAGTCGGTAACTCTCGAAATGGCTTTTCGGTGTTCCTGTTGGTTTCGCTTTGCCAACCGACCATCTATTACATACACGCGAAAGGGTCGGGTACGGTCGCGAAAGGGTCCCGAAAGGCCCTGTTTGCCCAACGCGAAAGCGAGAGCGATTTTCAATCTCATGTCTCAATCCGCGAAAGAGGCGCAAAAGCAATTGCCTCATGCGAAAGGGACTTGACATTTCTCTTTGGCCGCAACTCGGCTTAGAGCTCCGCTCACGTTATAACCATGCTTATCAGTGGGCTGGGGTGGTGGTACGGCCGTTTTCATATGTACTGGGAAATCTCTGACCCTGGAACGCGGCTGGACATAAGTGTGGGATCTTCTCAATCTGCTATGGTTCGGACTGGGTTCTTTCCGAGGAGGCCAAGGTCTTCGTGGAGGGTGAGGAGGAGATCTGCATGGGTGATGTGGCTACCCTCGAGCTGAGGCCGGTTTCACGGAAGACTGGAGGCTTTTCCAAAAGGAAAGAAGAAACATGGATTCCACTGGTTTCACTGATGGATTCCACTGGTTCCACGTTCGAGTGCTTGAGAGGTGTTAGGGGTTGGGAAACCTGCCCTCCCAACATGGAATCCAGCGGCTCGGTCCCGGCGGAGAATGGGTCTTCAACCCTCAGTTGGGCTCCATGTTAGTGGGAGGGTAGGTGACACAAAAAGGCATTTCGGAACTCCAGCCTTGTACTGCTGTTTTTTTGCCATGCGGTTCATGCAGACTCCTTTCTACATGACTCATGTTCTTTTAGGCAACCTCTGGAGAAGTGTTCTGTCCATCGAACAAGCTCAGTTGAGAAGCTCGGGAGGGGTGACTGAGGCGATTTACACGTAACCGTTTCTTCACGGGATGTCATTCTGTGAGCACGGGTCAACAGGGCGGCGCGCGGACAAGCTCCAAACCCGAAAGCCGGCACTTGCCTGCGGATGGCCATGACGGCCAAGACGACCCGTTTGGAAGAGCTTCAACAGCAAGGAGACCGCTTGCTTGAGGCAAGCCTTTTGATTCCTGAACCGGGGAGGAGCTATTTTGTCCAACTGGTTCCTCCCGATTTTCGTTGCTTGAGGCCAAAAAGGAGCTTCGGGCTTTCTTTCATTCCCTAGGTGGACCCAAAACCCAAACAACCCTCGCGGCACAAGGATTCCGAAGGAGCAGCCAAAAAACCGCCGCAGGCTACTTCGAGCAAACCTCCGGGAGGGCGAGGCTGGGGCGATGCTGTCTCGAGGATCCAGCTGGCTCCAAGCGGACTGTTCATATACCTAGTGTCCATGATGTGTGTTTTTCGCGCTTTTGGTTCTTGAGTCTGGCCCAGTTCACTTTGGCGACATGTTTCGGGAGGCGACACTGTCGACACCCCTCGGATTCGATGGACTCTTGGCAGGATTTGGTGTGCGACCCATGATGAAGGCTCCTTCTTTGAGTGGGTTGGAGCCGATGAGGGGCAATGCCTGACCTTTGAGCTTGCAAGTCTTTTGAGCCTTTGGTGCTGTGCAACTGTAACCGCACGACACGCGCAAGACAGATTTGCCGGGATTTCGCTGAGGGATACATTGATCATCCAGTGCTTGTTTCAGGGTGTTTGTGTTGACTTGCAGCAGAGGTCTGAGGTCTTTAATTCAGTATCTAGAAGCTACTTCTGGATGCGTCTAGGTCACATTTTTGCTCATGAACCAAAATCAGAATTCAGCAGCCCTTCAATTGCTCTGAGATACATTTCCAGTGCTTTTACGTCAGTGCCGCGCCAGAATTAGAGGCGAGCATTCCTCGCAGGCTGGTTGCCATTGCTGCTGGGTTGCGATGAGTTTTTGTGTTTTTTGGCAGTTTGCGTGTGTGTGTGTGTGTGTGTGTGTGTGTGTGTGTGTGTGTGTGTGTCTAGGTGTATGTCTCTGTGTGTGCATGTATAATATATTATATATATATATGCATGTATGTATGTAGGTATGTGTACATATGTGTACATGTGTGTTTGTATATATATATATATACATATATATATATATGTACATATGCGTATACATGTGTATGTGTACGTGTATGTGCGCGTGTGCGTGTGCGTATGTGTATTGTATGTGTCTCTGCGTATGTGGGGTGTGGGTGGGGGGTATGTTTGGTGGGCTTTGGGCGTGGGGCGCAATACCTTGTGGCAGGCCATTGGCTCCGCGCACACGCCCCACTTCCCGGGCGCTCAGGCAAGATGCTGGTGGAAGCTCTGGCTCGGTCCCCGGTCAAGGAAAACCAAAGAGAGAACCAGCCATGTTTTGGGTTCCCCTGTGTTTCCATTGTGTTTCCATGGGGTTTTCCATCGAGTTTCCATTGATTGGGTTTCCATTGGGTTTCCATTGGCTTTCCATTGGCTTTTCATTGGGTGTGCATTGGGTTTACCTTGGCTGTCTGTTGGGTTTTCATTGCGTTTCCATTGGGTGTCCATTGCGTTTCCGTTGAGTCCCCCTGTTTTGCGACCCCCTTTTGGAGAGGATCCTTTGGCCGACCTTGATCCCATCCTTTTATTTCGTCCTTTCACCGGAAGGTATAGCTCTAGGGCACGTGGGAGCGCAAGTGGCCCATTGCTTTTGTCTTGATGATTTCCCCTCCGCGCTTTTGTGAGCAACCCTGTTTTGAGTATGTCTGATTCAAGGATTCAAGGAGCTAACAGCGGTCCTGCCTTGTGACTCCATCTTTTGATGATTGTTCACTTCAATCCCCAACTTGCTGAATCAGGAAGTTTCCTTTGATTGATGACCAGGACTGGTGTGTTTCATGCGGTTTCCACATGGCTGGATGGCCTTGGAAACGAAGTTCAGGTGAGGCCCTTCATTTGCGCTTACGCTCAAGGCAACCCCCCTTGCATCTCTCCACGGCTGGCCTGGAAACCGGAAAAAGCCTCAAGGTCTTTTCGAAATCAAGATTGAATTTGCCCGCAGAAGGTGAACGTAGGTTCGAACCTAGGTGAGAGTCGGTTTTTGGCATTGCCAGGGTAAGATATCACCGACCCTGAAGGTGGCGGAGGCGTGGTGGGTGACCTTCCGCCTGCCTGGCAAGGGCAAGTCCGGGGTGAGCGTGCTGGGGGCCTCAAATCCGCCAGAAATGGTGAGCCCGCGTTTTGCCTGGGGTACTCCGGAGCCAGTTAAAAAAGTTCTAAGCCAAGGAAGAAGCTCAGTGGGTCAGTGGGCCCCTTTTCAAAATCCTTTCCCGGAGGGGGCTTCCCTCTGAAAGCAGCGACCAAACAAAGGGGTGTACCTTTTTTCCCCATCCGGGGAAATGTAGGCTCAATGTCAGGGTATTTTGGTGAGAACCCCAAGGATAGCATTGAGTGGCAGCTGGTGAACCACAAGTTTTAGGCTTTGTTGCGAAATGACGCACTGGAAAGACACGATCATGATGTTTTCTTTGATTTTCTTGAGACATCAGTTTGACCCCATGCCTTACTCCCGTCAGAGACTTATCCGCGAGGTTCCAGTTCCCAGTCCCCTAATCTGGATCTGAATCATTTTGGTTGCCACGCGATGAAACTGTTCTGTGCATGCCACGTTTTGCTCATCTCATTTCAGGCGCTCTCTCTGGGTGTCGTGCCATTTCGCTCATTTGCCATCGTGCCTTTCGCTGACTTTCCGCCCCATTCGGATGTGAGACAGACCCCCATTCCAAGGGTGGTTGCAACCATTCCCCTGGGCCAGCACCAGATGTTTTCCTTCGATCTGGGGTTTTGTGGCGACACTGTTTTGCTTTTGTCCTCCGAACATGTCTGGAATGAAACCCGAACCACCAATTCAGACGGGGAGGGACGTCGGATTTCACCTCAGGTGCTCGCGGATCGCCTGTGCCTCTCGGGAGGCCTGACAAAAACATTTCTTTCCTCTTTTTTTGGGTTCGACTCTGGCATGTTGATGGTTCGGTTTATGTTCACATGGTGCTTTTTCCACGGCCTATTGGATTTGTTTCTTCGCGATTTTTTGTTTGAGTGGCTTCATGGATTTGTTCCAAGTCTTAGCCGTAGCTGTTGGTTCTGCGATGGTTGTTTGTCCCCTTGTCCACTTTTGTAGATTGGGCAACCCTATGGTTCTGCTTTCATGGGCTGTTTGAATCTTGGGTCGGGGGCGGGTGTGTGCCGAGGTCGTCCCGCCCGGCATTCACAGCAGTCTCCCCCGGTGCCCCGACGTTCGCTCATCTCTCGCTTTACCTGTGTTTGTGGACATCGACCATTGGGCTTGACCAAGCCCAGGGACTTTCATGAACATCCATGGTCGACCGATTACTAGTCTACAAATTGGGGAACCCCGCAAAATGGGGGGGCGCATCCCTCTTGGCCCTTCAAACTCACCCCAAACAGGGTACCATCAAGCAAGGCACAGAACCATACCTTCCTAAGATCATTGCGAGAGCATCCCTGTTCTTAGGTCTAGACCCTGTAAACTGCGATCCTGAGTATGTGGTGAGCCGCAGTGCGGGCGATTTTTGTGGAATCCTGGATGCCAGGCACCCCTTTGCGGCAATTCTTTGTGGCCCACCAGGTGACAGCCCAGATCGCCAGATCGCCAGGTGACAGCCCAGATCCGTTTCCGGGTGCCCTTGGCGGGGAAGTGCCAGCTGAGGCGACTTCGCCGGCTCGCTTTCGGGAACGCGGGGAAGGGGATGTGAGTCGTCACGCCGGAAGTACTTTCGGGCCAAGGGAAAGTAGGGCCCACCCTTTAAGCTCCTCTCTGAGAAGTGGCTCCGAAATCTTTCAAGGGAGTTTGGGGCATGCCACCTCTCACGACCGACCTTTTCGCCCATCGGTGTGTCCCTTCCAAAAAAGGTGTCTCTCAAAAAAACACACACCCAGCTGATAAAGCCATGGTGCCACTACCCTTGGAGGACTGACTCGGGATGTGTTTCTTTCTGGTCTGCCGTTTTACAGCCTTGCTTTCTCGGCTCCCCTTCCCTCCATCGGCAAGCCGTGTTCGCTGCCCTTTGGGTCGTGTAAAGTCAAATTTGAATTCCGGTTTGATCTGAATCTGACGATTGAGAGTGACAAGCACGCAGCACAAATCTGTGGGGAATCTGTTTTCATTTGTACCATCTCCCCCGGGAAGCAGGACCGGGGAATAGCTATCGCCCAATTCCTTTGTATCTACGGCCATGCCCCCAGCCCTTGTTGGGACAGACAATTCAGTGGTTGGGGAACTGATCAACCTTTTTCCGAGGGTGCGGCAAAGCAGAGTCCAAGACGTTACCCTTCGCCTGCTGACTCGCCTTGCGAGTGAGCCGAAGAGGTTGACGCTCTCCTGTGAAGCATATGCAGGCGCAAGCTGTGGGGCTTCGGGGAAGAAATGGGTTTTGGTTGCGACCGTGGGCACCCATTGAGTGATGGTGAGGTAGGATAATCCACCTGGATGTGCGAGCAAAGTGAGGAGCACTGCAATCCCCGTGGGTCAAGATCATGGCTCCCTTGACAGCTTCAAGCAGTTGGAAGCATCTGATGTTTGAGCCTTACACTAAAGAAGCCGCTGTTGACATGTGCAAGCCGGTTTTTGATGCAGATTCGCTGAACCCGGTCCCGGTTGCTCGATTTGAGAGCACGTACTGCTTGGAACTTGATGTGACGGGTAGCAGTATTTTGGGGGCGCTTTTTTGCAAGGCGTCGTATCTGATTGAGTGTTGAAATTACACTTGTTGGCGTTTTTCAGACATTGCCATTGCCACGCTTCCATGCGTGCTTGAGCGTCTCATCTATATATATATATATATATATGTGGACCGATGCAGAGCGTGGTCGGCTTTTGACCGTCAATTGACAGGCACAGTGTCCATTATCTCTTCTCAGCTCAACCTGCGACTGACAAACCTGTCCCGTAATGTTCTGCTTGTTTCCTGTCAGAAGGTGACACGGTATGTGACTGAGAGCAGCGTTTGATCCGGTACTTGTCAGCGACATGTTCCTTTTTGTTTTTCGGCAAACAACATGATTGTTCTTTTTTTTGTTTATATATATATACATAATTATTTATGAATTATTTATGTTTGATTTATCACACGTGAGCAAGTGACAAAACACATAATGTTGAAGAATGCGGATTCAGAATGGAAAGCTTAGTAGGGGGTTCTACTGCTTAGATCTGCTGGGTAGGATGGGCAACACAGTAAGGTCTGTTTCGGTGTGCCTTTTCTGAGGGCGCCCAGGGGGTTGTTCAAGGGACACCCCAGCAACGCCGCCATTTCGCGTTTTGTTTGTTTCCCTCAGAGTACTTGTCGCAAGAGGTCGAGATCTGTGCCGTAAAACCGTCTTGGCAGAACGCAACCCGACGGGTTCCGTCGTATGCTCTCTTTGGCCGAGGCTTGGAGCTTGAGCGCGAGGTGAGCTACGTGGCCAAGCAGGCGTGGTCTAAACGCCATGGGGGCGGTGGCTCCGAAAATAGGAATCCTTGTCATTGCTTAAAACCTCGATTAAATGGTTGATAACCAGTAACCAACCCTACCCAAGTAAAGGGGGTGATTTGACCATGGTCAATTTGGAAGGCACAGGGGGAAATCACAAGATTTCCCAGCGAACGGGATGCTCGCCAAGCATTTCAAGAGGCGAAGCAACCCGTTCGGGTTGCCAAAAACACAACCACTTCGGCTCATGATACTTTTCTCCGCCTTTTGCGGTGCCTCCTACTCGGAACAATTCTATTCTACTTCCCCTTTGACATTGCCCTGCCAAGAAGGAAGCTCAGGTGATGTTTGACTCACCCAGAAAGGGAAAATACGGACCCTGACAATGATGCAGCAAGGGCTGAAGGCCCAAAGAGTTGGGGCTAGGAGACTCGGAGCTTTTTCAGGGCAAAGCTTGCGAAGCTGTTGACCAGTTGGTTGGGATCTGACTTGACGTCGCGAATGGTGGAAAGGAGTTGATCCAATGGAGGGACCCCCTTGGAACAAGTGGCCGTGGGTGGTTAGGCCAAATCCCTCTCAGCGGGTTGAAGCCAAGCGTGAGACAAAATCCGTCCGCACGTTGGCGGGTCAGGCGGTAGTGAAGGACAACGGCAGCGATGATGGCAGCTTCAGCGGGAGCGAGGCTCCGTACAGCGGGTGTGACTGCAGTGTCCCAGACCTCTAGTGGTGTCTTTGGTTTCTTTGTTTTTCATCAAAGAGTCACTGCATGGCCACTGCAGGTATCGGATTTCTTGAGGTTCTTAAACAGTCGCGATGAAGAAACAGGATGCAAAGCCGAAGTGGGTTCTACCATCCCAGAAGAAGCTCGAAGTGGAGCTACACTTAGCTCCGTTTTCACCAAACCAACCTGAAGCCGCCAACCTGGAGTCGTGAGTAGAATCCTCCATAGCAGGTGGTTGTGTTTTGCAGATTTGTGGATGCAGAATGCTGCTTCAAGTGAGTTGCAGCCCATCTCGGGCAATGGGCAACATTTCTGGACGCTTCTTTGTTGCCATGAGCTATATCATCCTGTCCTTCAGCCCCCCTCGCCAGCTTCCCGCCCAAAGACTCAAACGGCGCTTGCGTGGGGCTCAGGCTCCAGACATTGGAAAGGCCTAGGTGCCGGCAGGATTCCCCTGCCCAGCCTTCCGATCGCCTTCCAATTGCCTGCCAGGACTATGATTGAGAGTTCTCGCACAAAGACGCATTGTGCCTGG